CTCAGGTAATAAGACAAAATCCATATACATTCGCTGATTAGGAGCTTATGATATAGAATGGTTATATGAAAAACCTTATATATATGATCCTGTTATAAAAAAGAAATTTTTTTAACTAAGGGGTACATTAAGGTTCATTAATTACTCCCTATTTATTTGATGTGTATTTCAACTTATTGGTTGATAAATTTGAAAGGCTTATGAGATAAAAGATTAATTGTAATCGAATAAAGAAAAATTAGAAAGATTATAGTTTACAAAAATTTCTTAAACCTGAAAGAATATTTGCATTAGTAGATGAAGTTGAAATCACAACTTTTGATCAATGTTTTGGGGGGATTACTTAAAAAATTCTTGACCTTGCTGAGGAATTTGGATATAAGGTATGCATTAAGAAATAAAATTATATTCGTAATGCGAAAAAAGGATTGAAAGAATTAGATGAAAAAGGTTTTGAGAAAGTAAAACACTAAATATTCAGGTGTATTGATTTAACCTTTAGGGAAATATCTGTGAAAATAAAAGACATGTCATAGTGAAGGTAATTTTCTATGTTAAACCTAATAAAGCTTTAACCATGAGGCATATCACTCAGCAACAGATAGCATATATCAAGCCTCAATTTGATTATGTCACCCCTCTGTTGAAAAACTACTTAATTAAAGAGATTGAGAAATGATTAAAAAATACATCAAATGAAGCGATAGATGAGAGAGGGAAAGCTTTTTGCTTTAGACCTACTGCTATGGTATAGGCAAACTAGGGGGATATCTTTAAGGATATTTTTAAGTAGAAATCTTTAATTCTAGATTAACGGAGGTTAGTTTTGAACAAGAAAGTGTAACTAAGTGAGTCTTTAATGATTTAGAAGAAGGGATTTTCCCTAGCTTTTCGCACAAAACCTAAACTCTTCCAGATTATGGATATTTGGAAAGACACAAATATAGCTGAAAAAATTGTACAGAATGCAGGGCTTAATGGTCATTTGGTCATGTTTTTGCTATTTTAAGACTTCTAATTTTTGGATAAATTGATACAAGCTGAAGATGATTAATAGACAAAAAATTAAAGACCCAAATGTTCATTAAATTGATCTCTGCAATAGATTAATTTGAGACTCAAATCCCTAATAGAAAAAATTTCTCTAAAGAAAGGGAAATTAAAAATTTGATATATCATCAAAAATTTAATTTAATTAATAAATTTATAAATATTATCCTTTAATCAAATTCGAAGTTTAATTTATCAAAATCAGAGAATTAAATAAAACTATATTGATCCTCAGCAAGATCTTAGATATGACGTTTTAATTTTTTTTGATATGATAAATTGATATGATATATTATTTTTATTAACTTATCAAAAGTAATGGACTAATATTTTCTAAGTACTTGCTGAGGCTAAAATTGATTTTTTATTTATTTCCCTGTAATGATAAATGAATCAATAACTACTTATATTTATACATAATATTGGGCCTACATACAAAATTTACATTATTAATTGTTATTATTATAATTGAATAGAATTATTCTTTTACTTATGTAAAATCATGCATAATGTTAAAATAATATTTTATCTGATTCTAACATATATAAACAATTATTATTGAAAAATATTTTATTATTATTTATAAGCAAAATTAGTAATGAATCAAAATTAAAATGAAGCCATTTCAGGATATTTTAAGTAATTAATTTAAAATAAACCTTAGATATCAAGTTTATTGTGTTTTATTCATATCTTATCTTACACATTTTTCTATTATAACTATAATTATTATAGTAGTAAGTTTCAGCCTTCAAGAAAATCAGGATTCGGATTAAGTTGTTTAATGGTGTACAATAGAATTAGCTTTAATTATATATCATCTCTTATAGTAAATTTATGAGTTGAGAAATTAATTTTACTTCATTGATTTGATATATTCCCCCCATAATTAATTCAGAATCAAACAGAATGAAAGAGATTGTTATACGGCCTATATTTATACTAGATATTTATCTAATAATATTTTCTTTTTTCTTAACAATCATTACATATATGGATTGCTCTTTAGCACTAATTGGTTTTTTCGAGAATCATATAGAAAAAAACCAGGAACTAAAAAATTGGATACATGTTATGATGATTATGAGCCTTAGGATTGCTATTATTACGATTATGAAGAAATAGCACCTTAATATCATGGTCCTTATTTAACTCAACTAGCCAATTTTAATATAATTTTGTTTGCATTTTCTTGTTTATACTTGTTGTTTCGTTTTTCCACTTTAATTGTAATTAATAAAATAGAAGAATTAATTGAAAGCCATCATTTTAATATTAGTATTCTTATATTTTATTTAAAAATAGATATAGTGTCAGTCAAAAAGAAAAGCTAATTTGTTTGTATAATTCTAACTATTTACTACATTTGCAGAGCAACTCATAGTTTTATCATATACTTTCAAGTTTAAAATGAAACTTTACTTTACTCTATAGGAGCATACATCTTTTATTCATTAATGATGATAAGCGTTCTTGTTTCAATTATAATACTAATATAATTGAGTATAAATTATTTCTTATGTAGAATTTACCAAAGAGAAAAATTATCATTGTAACTTTGTTAGTGTTTCAACCTTAATAGATTAAATAATTTACTAGAATAAATATCTAAATTATTATTTTTGGATTATGTTAATCGTATCTTTTGCATTAACGTGTGTTGGGATTCCTATATATAGAATGGATAAAAATGTATAGGATATAGTTAATTATGAAAATTATGTTTTAACAGATCTAATAATTGCGTAAATGGTATTTATTTTTTTTATGTTGATCAAATATGTTCCATTTTTTCAAAGATCTTAAAATTACTTTATAAAAATTAATAAGGAGGAAAATTATAATTAAGTTGATCGATAAATTAATATTATTACTATTACATCTCAAGAAGATTAAATAGATTAAAATTAAAAAAGCTAAATAAATGTAATTATCTAACATAAACAAAATATTTTAAATAATTGCGATCAATAATTCTAGCAGTTTTAACTATTCTTGCAAAAAAAATCAAAATTTTTAAGTTCATCTACTCAAATTAAAACACAGGATAAATCCTTACATAAAATTAATTCTTTTGTTAAATAAAAAAAATTTTTAAATATTAAATCAACTATCTTCTATTCAAAAATAATAAAATTTTGGAAAAAAACAATTCAAAAGGATCTTAAGAAAAGAAGAAAAAAATTTATTTAAAGTATGAGGAAACCATTTAAAGAATAAGAAATTAATATAACTTATGATAAAAAAATATAATTTATTGATCAAATGTATTTGGGATAATGCACTATTTGTTTAGAATAATTCGAAATTATTAATAAAACCAAAAGTATAATCAGATTAAATTGTTTTGGACATCATATTTTTCATGCTGGTTGTATCCAAAATTGGTTTAAAAATAATAAAAAATGTCCAATATGTAATACCAATCAATTTGATATCTCTTATAATTGATTAATGTTATCATTTTATTCTATTTATATTTATATTTCATGTTAAATATCTCTCTAAAATTAGTTAATCTTAACTTTGAAATCTAAAAGAAATATATAAATATATATTTTGTTATAAAAATATAATAATTCTTAATAACACTATTAATAAATTAGATTCAATTTTTTTTAATAAATATAATCTCTTTCTGCCTTTGTTAATGAAAAAACTAGTAAATTAAAATTTATTATGAATTTTCAATTTCTATAAGTAGAAGATAATTCATACAAATAAATAATATGATAATGAACTCATAATTTTTATTCCTTTAACTCAACAAAATTAATTTATGCAATTTATGTGGGTTATTCATTATTCTCTGGAATCTAATTTTATGTGTTATTCCTCAAACAATTTNTATCTTTTGCATTAACGTGTGTTGGGATTCCTATATATAGAATGGATAAAAATGTATAGGATATAGTTAATTATGAAAATTATGTTTTAACAGATCTAATAATTGCGTAAATGGTATTTATTTTTTTTATGTTGATCAAATATGTTCCATTTTTTCAAAGATCTTAAAATTACTTTATAAAAATTAATAAGGAGGAAAATTATAATTAAGTTGATCGATAAATTAATATTATTACTATTACATCTCAAGAAGATTAAATAGATTAAAATTAAAAAAGCTAAATAAATGTAATTATCTAACATAAACAAAATATTTTAAATAATTGCGATCAATAATTCTAGCAGTTTTAACTATTCTTGCAAAAAAAATCAAAATTTTTAAGTTCATCTACTCAAATTAAAACACAGGATAAATCCTTACATAAAATTAATTCTTTTGTTAAATAAAAAAAATTTTTAAATATTAAATCAACTATCTTCTATTCAAAAATAATAAAATTTTGGAAAAAAACAATTCAAAAGGATCTTAAGAAAAGAAGAAAAAAATTTATTTAAAGTATGAGGAAACCATTTAAAGAATAAGAAATTAATATAACTTATGATAAAAAAATATAATTTATTGATCAAATGTATTTGGGATAATGCACTATTTGTTTAGAATAATTCGAAATTATTAATAAAACCAAAAGTATAATCAGATTAAATTGTTTTGGACATCATATTTTTCATGCTGGTTGTATCCAAAATTGGTTTAAAAATAATAAAAAATGTCCAATATGTAATACCAATCAATTTGATATCTCTTATAATTGATTAATGTTATCATTTTATTCTATTTATATTTATATTTCATGTTAAATATCTCTCTAAAATTAGTTAATCTTAACTTTGAAATCTAAAAGAAATATATAAATATATATTTTGTTATAAAAATATAATAATTCTTAATAACACTATTAATAAATTAGATTCAATTTTTTTTAATAAATATAATCTCTTTCTGCCTTTGTTAATGAAAAAACTAGTAAATTAAAATTTATTATGAATTTTCAATTTCTATAAGTAGAAGATAATTCATACAAATAAATAATATGATAATGAACTCATAATTTTTATTCCTTTAACTCAACAAAATTAATTTATGCAATTTATGTGGGTTATTCATTATTCTCTGGAATCTAATTTTATGTGTTATTCCTCAAACAATTTTGAGATTATTAATAGATAACTCTTAATCTTTTAGCTGTTTTATTTTTTGCATAAAAATATAGGCCTGCATAAACACCTATTATAGCACACCATATAGCTATAATTATTCCCAAAAAAGTATAACAATATTGATAAGTCTCACAATGCCAATCACCCTCATACCAAAAGCAACACTCTTCACAATAATACTCTGTTCCATATTATATAAAGTCTAAAATAATTGAAAATTATCTTACAGCAATAGCTTCTTACAGCAACTAAAAATGAAAACAGCAGCAATGGTTTCATTAAGAATAAATTCTAAAATTATAAATACCTTAAAAAGATTGAATTGTGGAAATATAGAATTATATTATTAGTGTATTCATTTAATAATTAAAGATTTCTAAATTAATAAAATTATATGATAATAATATATCTGGATTATAACTTAAGTAAATATATTGACTAAAATATATGAACTTAAAATTACAATTATTTTAAATTAAATATCCTCAATACAATAAATAAAAGGTATCAAATTTTTTAATTATAATAAACTGAATAATAATGGTTTATCTATTTATCTTCAGATAATTTAAATTTAGAAATATTAATATGAGGTTCATGAGAATTTACATTGAATTATAAATCCAATACATATTTACTTAATAAATAAAAATGTGTCTTTAAAATAGATAATAAAAATAAATATTGCTTTAATGTTGATTACTATATATTTAGTAGGATACTTCTTTTAATTAAATGCTCAAAATTTGAATATTTTAAGATATTTAATACAAATAAGAATTTTGATACAAAATAGATATCATTTTAGGTTAAAAACCTCATAATCTAACTAAGTATCTAATAGAAGATTTAATAGAAAGATATTATTAATATATTAAAAAATAAAGTTTAATTCAACTTTTATTTATACCAATTATTTTATTTAAATGTGCTTGTTTGTTTAGGTTTATCTTTATTTCATTTTCTATATTTTCTTATTGAATTATGAGCTAACAACAATTATTCGCTTTAATAATTTATTAAATAACTAAACAAATAATCCCAGCAGCTGAAGATATATTATTAGCCTATTCAACTGAAATCTCTAATATAGGTATAAGTTTTTTTAATTAAGATTAAGTTATTTTACTAATTGTAATTTATTCTAACTTATCAAATATACTAAAAGGCTTTGATAAGAATTCTCTTATTTGTTTCCAAATATTTTCTTAGTTCTTAATTTGAAAATTTAATAATATCATTAAATATTCAAAGATCTTTTATATTATTTAAGGTGGATTATTATATGCTCTTACTTCTAACATAGATAATTTATTGAGAGAACTAATTTATTATTTTATTTTTTATTCTATACTCTTAAATTCATATTCTTATTTTTAATAATTTTCATTACTTTTTACTTACTCATACAATTATTATTCAAAATATTATATTTTTTAATTCATTGATTAAAGTTTTAATGTTGAAATATATTAAATTCTTTAATTCAAAAAACTATTTACTAATCGCAATTACAAATATTATTCATATGTTAAAAATTCACTAATTTGATAGATAATCTCAGGTTAAAGTCTTTCAAATTTAGAAATTGAATTCTTATATAAATTATTAATACATGATTTTATTTTTGATTTACTTAATGAATAATGCTTTTAGTTTCTTTATATTTAGGTTTTGATTAAACTGTTTTCAGAAAAGTTTTGACTTAAAATTACTTTTTGTCTTTGCTATACATTTTTAAATAATAATATAATTATGTTTCATTATATTATCACTTGAATTATTATTTATTGAATATTCTCATAAATAAGATGGAGCATATAATAATAAAGGCTGAAGGTTCTGAAAACTATGGTTCAATGGATATGTCACCTGAGTGCAGACCAAGACCTTTAAATGATAAAACTTCATTTGGAGAATATAGGATCATAGCGAAAACGATATTTTTGGGGCCTCATTGTAAAAATATGTTGGATTTTATATAAAAGGGCCTTTATTTGCTATTACGTTGATTGGATTCAATATATTTGCCTATATAATGATGAAACAATAAAAGGCTTTGGGTCATGATATAACCTTTGGAATAATTATAACTATAGCATAATCAATATTTTATATGGGGGTTGGATTGGCTAATCCTGGAATTTCAAATGATTCATCTTTGAATTAAAAATATCTTGGATAGTTGTACTCTTTATCAAATAGGACCTAATAAAGAAATGTATGGTATTGTGAAAAATGTTAAAAAATATAACCTCCTCGATCTGATCATTGTCCATTTTGTAAAGTCTGTATTACAAATTATGATCATCATTGTCCTTGGACAGGGAAATGCATCGGAGGTGAGAATCTATTTCATTTCTGGGCTTTTCTTATCTCAACAATTGTTTTCTTCACTTATTTTATAACAATATTGCTGAATCAAAGAGAGGAAGCCCAAAAATAATGAATTAGTTTATTATTAAAAATCAAAGACCTTTGATTTTTTAATTAGATTATTATTAATTCTAATAAAAATACCTTTATTAACATGAATTTAATCTTAACAATGATAAATGTATTAGTATCATGGTTATTCTAATAATTTCTATTAGTGTTAGAGAGAACTCATCTTGAGCTATAAAAAGAATAAATTTCCATTTTATTTTATTTTATATCGTTATTCACTAATGAATATGATGAGATTAATTGTTATATCATTTTTATTATTCACTTAGTAATTCTCTATGTATATAGATTAAAGAAAATTACTAAATGTGATTTTTAGATTGAATCTAAATTTAGAATATTTCTTCACTTTCAAAAATGATATTTGGAGTACAACAAAAATGTATTAAATATATTGTAGAGAATTTAATTAAATTAGTAATATTTTAGGAAATAATGGAATATTAATTTTTAACAGGACTAAAATATTTTGGTTTTTCTATATAAAATATAATGACTACATAATGTTATATATAAATAGAAATGCTATTATGTATTTAATAGGATATTTGTCTAAATAAGAATACAATATTTAATTGTATTTTTATCTATATAAAACCATGATAAAAAAGTCCTGAATTACAAAAAGGATTTTTATTGATAATCTTTTTTAAAACTCAAGATTTAACTTCTTTGATAATTCTAATTAGAAAGTAGTTAAATTATGTGATAAAAATATCACTATTGATATTTTTAAATGAAACATGCTCAGTAACTTATATGGATGTTAGAATTAATTACGAAGTTTTACAATATTAAATAAAGTAATTGATATTCTTTGAATGCAATATTTTAAAATGATTTGAAAAATAGGAGTAAAAATTAATAGAGATAAGTAAAACATGGAGAAGTACATGAGTTTAACACTGAATAAAGTGGAAAGGAAGCAAAATTATTGATGTTAGTTTAATGTGTTATATTTATTATGAATTTTAAAATGTGTTATCAAATTATATATTCAACATAGGAATCCTAATGAAAATGGATTTTTCATTGAATTTGTGATTGATTTTAAGGGACTAATTGATATTCTATATTTGAGATTATATCATTTGAGGCTGTTGAAATAACTCTCAGCTTTGAAATCATACCTGATTGCAGTTCAGTATATGAGCACATCTTCGATCCTACCTAAAGAATTTACTTCTTTTCCTCTCTTAAATGAAATATTATAGTTTTAGCAGTAGCATACTTGATTGAAAGTTTCTTAGCGGCCTATTAAATTCATTATGCAGTATCATACTTCTTTAATTTTAAACCCTTCCTTGAGTACAAGTCTAGACAATTAATCCTTAGAAACTGGAGGCACTTTTACGTATGTTCTTTTATATTCTTAGAATATCCCAGGGACTATATTAGAACGGGGCCTAAGTTCTTTTTTTTAGGCTTATTTATTTTGTTGAACACTCTTTGAAGATTTTTATTCGCTCTCTTCAATGATATTCATCTAATTCAATATTAATATTTAAAAATCTTTATAAATATCCAAATTCGAGCAAATCAGCCTTTAGTGCGTCATAATTTAGAAGTATTCAATATTTTTACTGATAATGATTTTATAATACCTCTTAAAATCGAAATCCATTCAAATAGGAATGCCTTGTTCAATCATAGGTTATGGATTAATGACGAACATTAAACCAAGAGGTGAATCAACTCAAAATTTAATATTTTAATATTAATATAAAAATATTAAACGAAATTTGAATCTTATATTATTAATGAATTAAAGAAGGTTGATCTTGTTCTTTAATAAATTTTCTTCTACATTCCTAAAATCTATTAATTTTGTAAGTTTAAATTAAAAACTTGAGTTGTTTTTCCATGCTTGAAATTTAAAAAATAAACAATATATTTTTAATTTAATAGTTCAGAATCATAAACATTTACATTATTTTATAATAATGTAATAATTTAACCAACATAACTAGTTAAATTTAATGCTCAATTAATGAAAAAAACCAATCAAAATAGTTATTTAAACTACTAAAGTAAACCGGTATCCGTGATTTAAATACAACATTCTTGTAGATAGTACTTTTAGATTATAATAAACAAGACTCTTAAGACTTTAAATTTATATAGGATACTTGAGGATTTCTGTTTAAAAAATGAAGACCTGATCTGCTTATTTTTTAGTTTATTTAAAATATTAAGTGTTATTAATGGAGTATAAGTGTAATCAGTAAATATTTCGATTATGATTAGTTGTTTAAAATAAAGAACTTTTTCTTATTATTATTATATTATCATAATAACTGAAACTAATTAGATAAAAATAAAAATGAAGAGGATTAAGAATAAATTTTGCTAGAATGATTAAAATGAAGTGATTTTTAAAGTTTATTAGGGGATATGAACAAATATCAAAGGGAAAATATTGAAATGATTTTATCAATTTAAAAAAATTCAATTAGAATTTATGCATTTGATTTATATAATGAAATAGTATATAGAAGTTGGTTATGCTCTTTCAAATAGAGTTAAATGTTAGAATTGTCTTTAGAACATAATTAAAGATGATATAAGGATAGGTCATGTATTAACTAGACCTCCTGGATTAGGTTTTGATAAGAAAATATGGTATCATTTAAATTGTCTTACATCAATAAAGGGAGATCGAAATCAAGATTTAGATATAGTTAATATACATGGATTGAAAGAAGAGGATTAAAAGAAGGTAAGATAGAAAGTTGAATAGATAAAGAAGAGTAGTTACTAAAAAAGTATAAATTATATATAAATATTTTTGTAGAGGATTAAAAGGAAGTGAAATATTTGTCAAAACAAGAACATTTTTAAAATTATGTTAAAATTTAAAGGGATTTACATTTTAATTAAAAACTACGTTAATAGGCAATGTTTTTTGAGAAAATAGATTAACCTGAGGAATAATGGTGAATATTATATAATTACCAATTATAAATTAAAAGATTATATATTCAGAATTGATATTTTTGATTAATTCCGAATCCTAAGAATTTACCAATTTTAGGAGCAGCTAAACATTAATGCAATTTCATATTGCTAATTACTTCAGGCATGGATCTATCTCTAGTTAATTTAGATGTAACAGATCCAGTAACACTATTATTATCTATTCTTGATAGACTAGTTGGTTATTATTTTGAGAGATATTTATAGAATTGTGTGGCAGGAATAGATGGAAGTTCTGATTTTATAGGAGTCTTGAATTCCTATATACTAATACTATCTTATTTATCCATTAAAATTGGTGGGAATTCAGTATGTGTATTCTCTTCTATAATCTCTGAGTCTTTAATTAATAAATCATAAAATTTGCCTATATCATTGACTTTCACAATCCCATTTTTAGGTATAATATCTTCATAATCACTTTATTTAGTTTTTTGAGTTGTATTTTATCGAATACCTGATTTCTTCTTTAAATAAGATTTTTCATAGGATCCTCTCAAAATACTATTATTGATTGTAATACTTGAATATTCTTCTTTTGATAAACGTATAGATTATGATTATTCAGATGCTAAATATTGATCCATTTTATTTTAGATTTTATATGGTAAATCTTATGCTTAAGTATGTTTATTCCGTTATCCTTTTTCATACTGTTCAATTTCAAGAAAAACTCCTGGTTTTAATTCTAAAACATCCATGAATTCCTGCAAGGGATTTCTTTCTTATTATGCTATAATCTTTTGTGCTTCTCCATTTTCATTTATTGGTTATACTTTAAATACTTTTAATTTAGGTTTTGGGAATGCTGGTCGTCTTGGTTTGATAACTGCCAATTCATTAGTTTGAGATGGAGCTGATTCTTTCATTTATTAACCTTCAATCTTTTTAACAGGAGCTAATTGAACTCTCTTTGCTTTAAGTATTATTTTACCATCAATATCATAAGTTACTTTTTCTGGTTAACCATCTACTAAAACTCTTATTTTTCTTCGTTCTTCCTATTTCTCCTTTTCAATTTGAGCTTGATTTTCTTCAAATTCTTTTCTCATTTTTTCTCTATATGATAACTGACTTCTCAATTAATCATCATATAAATCGCTTTCAGGCTCCTATTATGTTTATACTATTTCAGGTTAAAATTCTTCCCAAGAAGGAGGCTTTTCTTCAAACTATTCTTCAACTAATTCTTCAATCTTATTATCAGGTTTTCTTATGTACTCTTTCATTAATTATGCATTTTATCTCCTCCATTAATCATTCATAGGTTTATCAGGTTCACCTTCTTCATCTAAATCTGATTTGATTTTGTCATACTCAAATTACTTTACTATAGATTCAACCAATTCCAAAGTTTTAATTGATGTAAAAGATGGCATATTTCTTAATACATCACTTACATTCAGACCATTATTTAGAGAATTCATGATATGTTTTATGCTATCTTAGACGATAACATGAACTTCTATTAGTGATTGATATGCATTTTCAGGCTCAAAGGTCAGAATGGAAGAACGATGCAAAGCTATAGGTGTTGAAATTTGTAAATTATTCATTTTTTTTTAGGTTTAGAATCATCTTTTTTTGGAACCTCCTTCTAAGGCTATTTCTATGGCTTTTATGGACTAGCATTTTTTTATGTTTTGGCTCCTTTTTTATCTTAATCTGCTGGTGATTTCATTTCGATCACAGGAAAAGTTAAAGAACTTTTAATTTCTTCCCTTTTTTATTCAACCATAATTTTTCTCTTTTCATTTAGTTCTTTTCTCTATTATTAATTATTATATTATTATTACCCTTTAGTCTTCTTCTAAATACTCTTATTATTTATAAGTTGCAGGACTAAATTGTTTAGCTGATAATAAACCTAATTATGCTCTTTATGCTTATAAAAATCTTTCTTTTTCTTTTTAGAATAGTTTAACTAATTTAAATATATATAATAGAAATACTTTTCTATTCTTCATAAATAGAAACATCTAATTTTGGTTAAGATTTAACTAACTCTAGATGTTTAGGATGATTTTTTTTAAAAGGATATGTTATTTTCCTATAATCAACAGGAACTCTTTATTTATCTTTTTCCTCTAACATTTTTTATTTCTTCAATTTCTTTTTTGTTGAAATATCTAATTCTTTTTATTTGATATTCAATCCTATTGCAACTAAGTATCTTTCAGATGGATTTTATGATTCTAATTACTATATATATTTATATTTACCTGATGTATAATCTAATATTCCATTAAATCCTAGAATTTCTCTATCTTTAATTTCAATTCTAAAATCTTTAGTTTAATTATCCTTATATTTCATATTTCCAACTTAAATAATTCTCTTTTTATTTGTTTCGAATTTTAAGAAGATAATTTATTCCTAATTATAAAATCCAGAAATATAACTTAATTTTTCTTCCGAATTAATATTGATCTATACCTTATCAATATTACCTTCCTATAATCCAATATGTTTTGTTGTTTTATTATCTTTATTTTCTGATTCTCCATATGTCAATTCCAAACCTATGATCAAATTATTCTAACTATTCTAACATACAACAATTTAATTAATAGGCATATTTGATGTCCAATCTAAATTCTTGGAATCATCAAATGGTAAACAAGTTTCTGTTTTTTTGTCTATTCCAAACATTATACTTTCTGGTTTATGTTGTGTACTTTATATTGGATCAGAGAATTATTTCTTTTCCAACAATTATGCTTATCTTTGAAGATCATTTAATTTTGTAACTGATGATTTAGTTTAAACTTCTTTTTCTTTTAATTATTTTGCTAACTATACTACATCTTCACTTAATTTAGCATATTCTTCTATTTATCTTCTTTTTTCTTTTTATGCTTCTTTCTCTTTTTTCTCAAGTTCTTCTTATAATGTTTTGACATCTTCTTTAAGTTAGTTAAAAATTGGATCCTTATCTTTCTTAAATTCAATCAATGCTTTTTTAAGTTCATCTTTCTCTTCTGGTTCTTCTTATTTTTCCTTTATTTATAAGAATCTCTTTTAATTCTAATCTTGACTTTTTTGTGCAAATTCTTATACTTTTTTTTATTTTTCATTAATATTATCTTATTCTTTTTATTTTTCTTATTTAAAATGTTATTTCTCTTCACATGGTTTATTTAATTAAGTACACATTTAACGATAACTAATAAAATAATAATATAGTATTACATTTTTTAAAGTTCAGCAAAATAATTATTCAACTCTACTTCTTTTCTTGTTTCATGTAATTCTTCCTTTTAAGCTTCCTTGATATTATCTTTTAATTTTTTAATTTATTCTTTGAGACTATTTAATCTACTTTCATAATCACAATCAAATTATTATTATTTAAGTTCAGCTTCTTATTCTTTCATTATTAATTACATTTTCTTTTTTAATCTATCTTCATCTCCAATTTATTTTTCAATTAAAATAATTTCATTACTAAGTTTATTTACATCTTCAGTTTATTCTAAATTTTTATTTCTATCTTTTAATGCCTTAATTTATTCTCTCATTTAAGTATTGGACTGTTCCATTTTATCAATATTAATCAACAAATCCACTTAAGAATATTATAAAAGAGTTACAAATTCTAGGATCAATCTTATTAGCAAAGTCTTATTTAGATTTGCCATTCTTAATTTCATATAAAATCTTCTTTTCAGCAAGATTATAATGTTTAGGGTCTAATTTTTATTCCAATAGTTTTTATTTTCTAACATTAGATTAGACTAATTTTTCTGCTTTGTCTCCTAGTTTTTTAAGATGACCTCTTAAATTATTATTTCTCCCTCTTAATTTTTAGACTTATTAAACATGTTCAGCCAATAAGTCTTTCCATTTTCTTAATTTCTGATTCTCATCTAATCCTTACTCATCTATAGTAAGTTTCAAATTATCTGATATATCATTATTCTTTATACTAAAGATTTATATAAATTTAAATATATTACTCTTCATCTTCTTTTGGATTGTCACCATCTTCAAAAGGATCTCCGTCTTCATAATTATTTTCATCATTTGGATCATCTTATGGATAATCTTGGTTGTCTTCATCAGGATTATCTCCTTAATCTTGATTATCATCTTTAAATGGTTCTTCGTCTGACATAAGTTATATTTTTAATATAAAAATTAATTAAAATCTTCAATTCCTTTTAGCTGCCACTATTTTTTATGATCTCTTATTGAGAGATGGCTATTATTTAAAGAATAATTACACACATTAAAACTATATTGAGGAATATCTGCTTTTCTTCCTGGTCTTTTTAATAAATCATGTTTATCACATGGAGACAATATAGCAACTAATCTTTCAGCAGATTCAATAAATTCTTTCTTATTCAAAGTATGATTTCCAGATTCCATTTCCAAAAGTAAAGGTGATAAAATCTTAATAACATTATCATCCAAATCACCAACATCACAATTCTCAGAATTAATAAATCCATCTTTATCACTATCTAAAGAATCAAAGATTTTCATTAATGAATACTACATTTATTATTGTATCATTTAATTTGATCTTTCACTTGCTCTTATTTAAGATGAACTTATTTATTATTATTGTAATTAGATAATTTAATTCTATCTTTTCTATTCTTAAATCTTTGCTTGATTATATAAATTCTAAAATAAATCTCTTGGTCTATTTTCAGGAGGTCTGCCTGTTTTTGGTTTAAATAACTAATTCTCATCATCACAAATTGATAGATTTTATCTTGATGTTGATCTATTCTTCTATCTCTATTCAAAACTACTTCCCTATACAATCTTCTCTGATATCATATCTATTTTAGGATGAAATGTATAATTTGATGAAAAATACTATTTTTCCAATTACTCTAACTTTTATCTCTTAGAATCATAATCAGAATATAATGATTAATACCATGGTTAATTATTTCTATCATTTCTTTCTTCTACTATATACCTTGATCTATTAAGAGATAAGTATATTTTAAATACATTCTATTAATTTAAGGTTTGAATGAACAACTTTATACTTCTGTCTATAAATGTTATTGACTTGCATTTTCTCTTTTTATTTTTTATTCTTAAGCCAATCTATTTAAATGTTCACTCACAGATTCCCCTTTACGTTGTGCTAATTATCTTGACATATTATTTATTCTTGGATGATGTGTACATTCAATTAATTATGAATTCTACAAATCTTTTTTAGCACTCTCTGCTCTCTATTATTTTTCTTCATTCTTTTTTAAACCCTTCTAATATAGAAATAACCCATAATTTATTTCAGGCTCCTAAATTTTGATTTTCTTTGATCTACTATCTGAAATATTTAATTTTTATTTCAATCTCTTATTTTTTGCATCTTCATATAGTCTTTCATGAACTGATGAATGAGTAGAGTAATAATTATTTGTTGATAATTATTGTAATGGTTCATTAAAAGGAGTTTCCATCAATTTTGAATTACATGTTTCTGTTGAATATTGCATGGTATCTTAACCAGACTATACATTAATCTCTTTCTCTTACATTAACTTTCTATAATTCAGCTACTTCTAAATTTTTATTTATATTCTCTATTAATAAGGGAACCAATTTCTAATTCACATTGTATTGAATACAGAAATCTCTAGCCAACACTTCAGGATCATCTCCCAAATGTACATTAATTGTACCCTCTCTTCCTTCATCTATTCTAACATTCATAATCAACAGAAGTTCACTCATTTAATTTGAAATATAAGTTAGATAATTTATTATATAATTTACTCTATTATTTTTTCATTCATTATTATTACATAAATATTAATTCTTCAATCAAAAATAGAAAACATTTTCAAAATCTAACAAAAATCATTAAATACTAATTTTTCCCAATTCTTTAATGAGAATATAAAAAATTCAAACTCAACTCAGTAAATTAATTATCTATTTTTAGATTGATATGTTGCATATTTAAAATTCCATTATTAATTAATTGAACCCTTAAAATAGTTTCACATAATTAATTTGGTTATAAAACTCCTAAATTTTTCTCTGTAGACAATGTGATACCTAAAACAACTAAAAGTTAATACTTTTTTTTATTAAGTTTCTTTCCAAATATTTAAGCAGGTGGACAGAATATAATTTCATGTTCTTTGTCTGAATAATTTATTAATACTATTTTTAATGCTAAATACTCTTCATTTTAAGAATCCTTATATTTAACTACTTCTTTGATTTCACATCCAATTGTTTATATTGGTTTAATCTACCATAGTATAGAATTGCATTTAATATACTTTTATTATCCCCATCTAATATATAGAGGTATCTTTATTTCTAATACAGGATTAACTTGTATAAGATTTAATCTTCTTGATGGAAGATCTGGTTATAATTATTCATTTTATAACATTGCTGGCCAATCTAAGAGAACTTCAATATATCCTTCTTTATTATTAAGATATTATTTGTTAATGGATATATTTTATAACATACATTTAGATACAATTCTATTAATTCCAACATCCTTCCAGATAATTTAACTTTCACTCAAAGGAAATCCATTTCAATATCTTTTAATTGGAAATGAGATTTAATATGAAAAACAATATTCATTTTAACTGTATTACCAAAATATTGATATTCGAAATCAAATTGATTATTTACTTAGACTATGATTGAATGTTGATATTACAATTAATTTATATTATTCTTTAGGTATTTCATTTCTCAAAATCTATTTGATTTCATTAAAACAATACTTTTGTTCAAATTTACAATAATGATAAATTCTAAATCTTAATCAATATATTCTTCATTAACATTAATTTCTAGTATTTTACAATATGTAATTCTGTTATCTTGTAATATTTATTTTTTAGTTTCTATATTGTTATTATTGACATAAAGATTAATTTAATAATATGATGGATAAGATTCGCATGAGTTATTGATTTTATTTAAATTAGAATTGATGGATAAGGTCTATATCATGTTAATAAATAATGAAGATTGGAATTAATTCACAATTAATGAAACAGGGATTTAATTGTTTTTCATTGATAAATTATGAGAAATTTGGATTCTAAGTTTAATATTCTTGTAAAATGGTTAAATGTAGTTTTTTTGGAGGGATAATTATATTTTTCTACAATGAATTGAATTGTGACTCATCCATAAATATAATAATAATTTATATTTATCATTTTTTTTATTATAGATTTTCCATCAATTTAGGATCTTGAAAGATGGGAACTTATAGATTTGGTTTAACAATATCAGGAGTAATTTCAAATTCATGATTATTAATAAGTTCTTGGTTATTAATTGGAGCATTCTGATCTGAATGATGTTAATCTTATGATTTTTATCGTTTTTGTTATGCTTTTTATTGAAACCTATTGTTTGAAATTCCAAGATTATTCATTTAGATAATTAATAATCTTAAGAATAAAATAATAATAATCTAATTCAAATCTTAATTTGTCTTTAATTCATATATATTTTGAATTAGTTAATTATATAATAATAATTTATAATGGGTACAGCACCATGTTACAAAAGGAAAAATGAAGAAGTAAAAGTAGCTCATCGTGGACATTTAAGTGATAAGAGTATGAAAGTATAGCATATTCAAATATGAGAGTCTAACAATGAGGATTTTCCAGAGTAATAATGTGAAGAATAAGAAGAAGAAGAAGAAGAAGAAGTAAGATCTGTAATAATGAACTCTAGAACATAGTTTATGATTACATTTAAGGTGAGTTGATTTAAGAGGGATGTAATGTATACTCTGCATTGAATACTTTAAATGGGTAACTTTTAGCATTAAAAATTGTATTAATTTCTATAATGATAGTTCAAATTAAGTTCAGAGGATGATTTTGATAAAGTAATTAATATTGTAGATATACTTAAACGATTGGAATTCAAGAATATCCATCAAATTATAGGTTGGGATTACTCAGTATTTTAAAATGAAGTAATCTAAAATGAAATTAAAATACTGATGCCTTATGAGAGTGGAGGATCAATAAGTTGGTTATTGTAAAAATTCAGTTCCTTTTCTCCTTAACTTGCTATTATGTTTATGAAACAAATATTGTAAGGATTAGAATATCTTCATAGTTAAGGTATATTACATAGGTATTATTGATTTTAAATAAGGAATCTAAAAACATCTAATGTATTAGTAGATGGAGAAGCCAATGCTAAATTAAGTGATATTTACATTCTAAATAAATACAAATTATCAATTTATAGTGCACCTGAATGTTTTAATGGATAAGAATACTCATAATTTTCAGATATATGGAGTGCAGGTTGTATATTTGTAGAAATGCTAACTAAAATGCCACCTTGGCATCATTTATCTTCTGACATAACACTAGACTAAATAAGAAACTCTATTAATAAAGGATGTATGATTATGATATTAAAATCAAATTAGAATTATTTCAATTCAAACGTATAACTAAATCAGAGGATATATTGTAAATCTTTAATCAAATTTTTAAATTGAATCCAAAAGAACGATCTACACCTAATTAATTACTTACTCATTCTACTTTTCGAAGTATTAATATATATATAATTTGAGATCTTGAAACAGAACCATTAAAATCTGTAGTAATCTCAACAAGAAGACAATATCATACAAAACATGACGATAAAAAATCCTTTAAATTATACAATAGTAATATGTCTGGTTCCAGTATGCATGGTGGTTTATCAGTTTCAATAAGAAGGAGTAATAATCCTGATTAAAGTAAATATCAATAAGTACTATAATAATTAAAGTCTATTCATTAAGACTTCAATAGAACAGAGAATATGTAGGAAACATAACTACTCTCACATAATGATTTATGTAATGTTGTAACAAGAAAAATTCAAATAGAAGCTAAAATTAAGGAAATAGGAATTCATCATATAAATAAAGATAAAAATGCTTTAGTTGAAAATGGATTAATTAGACCAAAAGAAGGACCAACTTAAATTGCTAAAATTTCTGTTAATGGTGTACCAGATTAAGGAAATAAGAATTAAGTTCATAAACCTCCTATTTAATAAATAAGTCAGTAATATAAATCAATCATGTAAAGTGGAAGTCTAGAAAAAATACAAACAATTAGATCAAGTGAATTTGTCAAAAGTAATGATTAAAGTATTGAAAGATTACCTGTTGTAAAAAATAAATAAATGAGTGAATCATAATAATTAGAAGAATTAATGGCTTAACAATTCTATTAGAATTAGAATTATAATAATTAAAAAGAAGATATTAAACCATAAATTAATCTTATTGATATTGAAAAAATGATGATGGATTAATTTTCATCTTCTATGTTTAAATCCAATTAAAATAATGAAGATGATTAATAAATTGAAAAAAATGAATAATAATAATAATAATAGGAATATTAATAAGAAACTAAATATATTAAGTCTGAAATATTACTTATAAATAATAATAACATCCAAGATCCAAATTATTTTGAGAATCTTATGTAATAATAATATTTGTAGGATGATGAACAAGATATAGATGAATTATAAAAACTTGAAGAACTTATTTAATAATAATATTATAATAATAATAATCAAAAAAATGATATTAATTTGGATTAATTAATTTAAAAATAGTTATCTAATCATGATAAATCAATTTAACCTTTAGAAGATAAACAAGATGAAATCATTTAAGAAAATTTATCCATTATTGGTAATCATTCATAATTATATTTTATATAGCTTTTGATAAACTATCACAATCTCCAAAAAATGACAATGAATTGTTAATAGAGGATGATTTTATATATATGTTATGAATTTTGCATATAGAAATGTCAAATCTCATTCTACTTTTCAAATATTAAAATAGGTCTTCTAAATGTACTTTTAGATTTCTTTATTGCATTTTCATCATCTGGATTTATCTATTAAATTAATTTAAAATTATATTCTTTCTCTAAAATCTTTGAAAAATCTTATGGTTTTAATTATATTTCCTTATAATTTTATTTAAATTCAGAACTATAATATTTCTTTTTTTTATAACTTTTCCATTCTTGTGGTTCTAATATTAAATGACCACCTACATTCAAAAAATTAGAAATTGTCTTGAATAATCTTTTAATACCTATATCTCCAAAATTCAAATGAATCCATTTAGTAATTGATAAACATAATACTGTATCATATTTTTCATCATATTTTTTATTACCAATAATATTTTATACTCTAAAATAAACATTATGTGGAAATGTATTGTCCTTTACTATCTAATTAAATTAAATACTGTTATGCTCTTTCTATATATTCATGTCTTCTATAGTCTAATTAATGTATTATTATTCTATTGCTTTAGATACTAATATTATAATTAATATTAACTAGGTTATTCCATATATTTCTCAAAACTCACAGGTAGATCTTCAATAATAGGTTTGAATTCCTATTTCTAAATTTTCTTCTATTAATCATCTAAATGAACCATTTATTCAATAGCTTTATTAATTAAAGTATAATCAATATCTATTCCTCTAATTAATTTAGGGTAATGTCTTATAAAATTAAAGAATAATAAACTTGAGTGCAATTAATAAAGTCAATGTTCCATCATTGCAACCAATATCAAGAATTTATTTATCTGTAAAATAGCAACTATCTAATATTGTTAATCTTGGATCTTCCCACTTTTATTATAATCTTAAATGGTAATATTTTTTATAATTGCCATAAGAGTATTATTTAGTACATTTTACTAAATCAATTGGATTCATCTACAATTTTTCCATAAGATTATGTTGCTTCTTTTCATCTTATTCATCTGGTTTCACCTTCTTTTAAACAAATGTTTCTTAACCCAAATCTACATTAGTCTTTCTTTTAGATTATGTTTTCAATCTAATAGGAGGTGCATTTTCTGACTTTTTTTATTAAACTTCATTCTTCTCTTGATTTAATAGAAACTTTCTAAATTGTTCATTCATTTATTATAATAATTAATAATATAATATCAAATCAAATCAATTAGCAACTTGATTTCTTAGGTTTTTTTGTTTTAACTTATTCTTGTCTTTATGTAATTAAACTTTATATTGAAAATGAAAAGGCTTCTTTTAATCCTTCTTAAGTCATAGCACTTGTCTCTCTTAATTGATAACCTAATTTCTTAATAGTTGTTTCTGCAACTTAGGTTTATATATGATTTGGATTTTTGGGATCTCTTAAATCTTTTTTTAATCCTAAGAACATAATGAATCCATTTTTATTATATTATGTGATTTCTGGAAGCCACTTAAGTTAATAAAATTGATTACTTTCTTAATAGCATTTTCAAAACTAACATCACTCACTAAAGAGAAGCAAACTAAAAAGATGTCTGTTCCTTAATAACATACTTATCTTAAGTGTTCATAACCTTCTTGTCCAGCAGTATCCCTAATAAAATGTTTTATAGATTAAATACCATAATGATAAATCATAAAATTCTCCATTAATTTAAACTTAAGTTACTGTATTATCAAAAACTGTAGGCACATATTCAGTAGGAAATTTATCATTAACATAACTATACAAAGCACAAGTCTTGCCAATAGCTCCATCTCCAACTATAATTAATTTAAGCTCTTTCTTTCCTTCTTACATTATATAAATATATTATTATTATTAATTATTATAATTAAAGAGAAACTATAAAATAATTACATTAATCATCCCCACCATATTGGTTTTGGTGCTTCTATATATTATTTTGAAGTATCTCTTGTATTATGTTACTTATTAACATATAAGTTTTATATTTAAGAAGATGAACTATTAATATATGGAATAGCATTCTAATGAATTATACTAATCTTTAAATTTTACTGTTTTTCTAATAATTTTTTTTATCTAACTCTCTCTATTTCTAATAATTAAACTGAATTGACAATTGATTTAGATCGTTCTTCATGTAAGGAATTCTATTATGGTAATTATTATTGATTTCTATCACTCTTGATAGGTGGAACTGAAAAATTAGGTCTGATTTCTTTAGTGTTATTAATCTTAGGTAGAAATGAAATATTTGCTTATGTTTCATCATAAGATTTATTGACACTTTCAATAAAGTATTTTGATTTTGGTAATTTCTCTTTTAAATGTTTTAAATTCTTTGGTAATTTTATAGTTTATAAGAGTATGTTTGAACCAGCTTAAGATGATTATGTCTATTATGAAACTCTACTTTCTATAATAAATTATCTAGCATTTCTTAATAAAATAGGATTATTAAGTAATTAAGAACATGTAGGTCTTTATTTACTTTGTACCTATAAACACAATCCTATTACAGCCATTAATTCACTACTAAATTTAGGTGGTATACGTTCATATAAACCTCTTTATACTTTTTTATATAATCCTTCCATATTTTAAGCTCTAAATGGTGGTTTAAGAGCAGCCATTTCATATGCAACACAACCCAAACTCCAAATATCACTTTTAGCATCATATGGTTAATCTCTCCATACTTCAGGACTTGCATAATAAGGTGTTCCTGTTTAAGTATAAACCAAATCCTTTTTAGCTACTTTTGATACATTCATATCTCCTAATTTATAATTTCCTTAATGTAGAAATACATTAGCTGATTTTAAATCTCTATGTAAAATTTTCATTTGATGTAACGTTCTCAAAGCTATCAAATAAATCTAATAAAATATACCAATAGCCATTTAATAAATCATTTTCCATATTTCAATTTCCTAGATATATTATTTTTAGTGAATATGTTACTGGATCAACTATTACAAATCACCTTAATCAGCATATTCCATTACTATGCATAAACTTTAAGATTGTTCATCATAGAATGCTTCCTTATAAGCAATTATATTAGGATGTGAAATGCTAGCAAGAATACGAATCTCATTAAGTGAATTCTCTTTCTCTTTCTCCTTCAATTATCCCATCCTCACTTTTTTCATCGCATATTCTTATTGATCAGATTACCGTTTTACTCTTAACACTGTTGAGAATGACCCTAAATTAATTGACATTTATCGAATTAAAAGTACCTTCTCCCAATTTTTCAAAAACAGTAAAGTTTTTCATCTTAATAATTATAATAAAAATTCAAAATAATTACTCTAAATTATAAATTATTATATTATAAATGTCAATTAATAGATCTAATATAAAAAGAATCTAATATTTTATTTAAAACCATATAGTTATTAATTAATATACTATGCTTCTTTATTATATATATAATTATATATTCAAATTAATAATATACCTTAAATATATCAATTACTAATGATATTCATATTTTATTATTATTATAATTTAATATAAACTATTAGGTTGTATAAAAAGGTCAATATATTTAACAAATGATAATTATATTTTAAAAATAATAAAATTCTTTTTATCTAACACAAATTTTAAAAAGAAAAATAAATTTAATGATATTAGCATTAATTTGAAGAGATCTATCTATTCTATTAAGTTTCATTGTTTAATTCAAAGACAAATTAGGATTTTATTATATCTAAAGTGTACTATTTAAAAACTATTATAATTAATCACAATAACAGTTTAATCTCATTTTATATTATTAACATAGAAGTTAAATTTAAAGTAATTGCCAGTTCAAATAAAAATATCTTATTAAGAATATATATAAAATAACTAAATTGATTTAACCATATTCTGTTAAATACTTATTCATATATTAATACTTCCTTATTGAACGTTAATTATATCTTTAATTTATAATATAATTAAAAAGTATTTAGCCAAATAAAGATTATTATTTGTTAGGTATTAGAAAATTTAGATATATAAGTGATTAAATCCACATCTAAAAATCGAAATTTTAATTAATTTAAAAAAAATTCAATATTAATTCAACAACTAATTTAAGGGAAAATGGGACCTGAGAATAATAGTGTTGATACATTACTGTATTTATCAAAAGTTTTAACAAAGAATAAAAAGAGAACAATAAAAATAATTAGCTTTTTAGGTGTTATGCTTTTGTTTGTATCATGTGAACTAATAATTAATGGAGAATGCTTTATAACTTAGAAAAATAATTTGGAATTTTTAGTTATTGATAGTATCATGTATTTTGGAATTTTTGGGATTTGTTTCTTTGAATTAAGAATTTAGATAAAAAAAATGAATAAGAAATATATAAATTAAATCAGAATGAGGGCAATAATATATGGACTTAGTATCTACATAATTTTTGTAATCATAATTATATGTCTAAGTCTTTATCATATTTTAGTGCAATCATTTTTTTTTTTCTTTTATTTTAATGAAGAATGTTTTTACCTAAAAAATAAAACTTAATATTTTGTACCTCTGAAAATAACGATATTTTGTATATTCATTATAGTAGAAATTGTTATTATATTCTTTTTAAAATGGGTTTTTTAGTAAAGTTTTAAAGCTTTTATTTTTCCTTATAAATCTAGAAGAACTCTTTTAGAATTTAGATCTGAAAGTCACGATATTGTACCAATAATTAATTAAATTTAAGCTTGTTCACCTTGATTCTTCTTTAAATATATATTAAAGTGAATTATATTAAATATAAAAAGATAAATTAAATTAATTTGAGAGTAAAAATAAAATAATTGAGGCAATAATGTCAATTATGTTCACTCTTAAATTAAGATTAAAATAGATAGTATTCTAGCTTCGATTATCTCCTATTAATGAGATAATAATTCGAAAACAAATACTATTATACGTTTTATTGTATTATATAAAAAAGTTAAAATGTATGATAAGAAAATTCTAAACTTGGGGATATCTGAGAATTCGAATAGATAAGGAGAGTTAATGAGGAAGAGTAGAGAATAGATACGAACAATAAAGATAGAGGAAGAAGATAAGAAATGTAGATTTAAAAATCTGAATAAACAGATGTATGATATTGAATGATTTAGAATACTNCTGTTAAATACTTATTCATATATTAATACTTCCTTATTGAACGTTAATTATATCTTTAATTTATAATATAATTAAAAAGTATTTAGCCAAATAAAGATTATTATTTGTTAGGTATTAGAAAATTTAGATATATAAGTGATTAAATCCACATCTAAAAATCGAAATTTTAATTAATTTAAAAAAAATTCAATATTAATTCAACAACTAATTTAAGGGAAAATGGGACCTGAGAATAATAGTGTTGATACATTACTGTATTTATCAAAAGTTTTAACAAAGAATAAAAAGAGAACAATAAAAATAATTAGCTTTTTAGGTGTTATGCTTTTGTTTGTATCATGTGAACTAATAATTAATGGAGAATGCTTTATAACTTAGAAAAATAATTTGGAATTTTTAGTTATTGATAGTATCATGTATTTTGGAATTTTTGGGATTTGTTTCTTTGAATTAAGAATTTAGATAAAAAAAATGAATAAGAAATATATAAATTAAATCAGAATGAGGGCAATAATATATGGACTTAGTATCTACATAATTTTTGTAATCATAATTATATGTCTAAGTCTTTATCATATTTTAGTGCAATCATTTTTTTTTTTCTTTTATTTTAATGAAGAATGTTTTTACCTAAAAAATAAAACTTAATATTTTGTACCTCTGAAAATAACGATATTTTGTATATTCATTATAGTAGAAATTGTTATTATATTCTTTTTAAAATGGGTTTTTTAGTAAAGTTTTAAAGCTTTTATTTTTCCTTATAAATCTAGAAGAACTCTTTTAGAATTTAGATCTGAAAGTCACGATATTGTACCAATAATTAATTAAATTTAAGCTTGTTCACCTTGATTCTTCTTTAAATATATATTAAAGTGAATTATATTAAATATAAAAAGATAAATTAAATTAATTTGAGAGTAAAAATAAAATAATTGAGGCAATAATGTCAATTATGTTCACTCTTAAATTAAGATTAAAATAGATAGTATTCTAGCTTCGATTATCTCCTATTAATGAGATAATAATTCGAAAACAAATACTATTATACGTTTTATTGTATTATATAAAAAAGTTAAAATGTATGATAAGAAAATTCTAAACTTGGGGATATCTGAGAATTCGAATAGATAAGGAGAGTTAATGAGGAAGAGTAGAGAATAGATACGAACAATAAAGATAGAGGAAGAAGATAAGAAATGTAGATTTAAAAATCTGAATAAACAGATGTATGATATTGAATGATTTAGAATACTAATAAAATCTTGAAATATATATTTTATTTAAATATCAAAGTAATGCCATTGAACGATTCAGAAGTAACAAAATCTTAAAGCGATATGCAGGAGAGTTCCAAAAAGATATAAAAGAAAGCAGGCCATTGGAATTAAGAAGAACATGAATCATATCTTCGTTTTTTACAAGAGAATGCGAATCATAGCAAAGGTCAAAGATTATTCAAAAGGATGAGTTAAATAATAGGAACAAGAACACCTAGTTAGTGTAGGTAAGATTTTTATATAATTGAATAGATCTCATCATTAAAAATTTAATCCATTGAAACCAACAATCAATATTACATAAACTAGATTATTAAAAACCAAATAATTGGTTAGATTATATATGTAAAAACATAAAGTAAAAGATGAAGAAGAAGAATGATTGAGATATTTTTTATGTATATATTAATACAATTTTTGTTTTGATTAATATTAGTTTAAAATTTAAATAAAAATGAGTAATTCATTGATGGGTAATATGTTGGTTGAATCTGTAATGGAGAGAGCCATAAAAGATAAAATGAAAGAATAGTAGGCAAAATAATAAGAAGAAGAAAGAAGAAGAGCAGCAAGAAGATAATATGAGGAAGAAGATGAGGATGATTGTGATGATGAAGATTTAAAAGAAATGTTGAAAAAGATGAGAGAACAAAGAGCTAAAGAATTATAAGAGGCTATGCTTAAAAAGAATAAAGGATTTGGAGAATATAGAGAAATAGTTGAAGAAGAATTCTTACCATCTGTTACTAAATCTGAATTCAGTGTTGTTCATTTCTTTCATCGTGATTTTGAAAGATGCAAAATTATGGATAAGCATCTATTAGCTATATCATAATAGTAAATTATTCTTATTATATTCATAGACATCCAGAAACAAAATTTTATTGTTTGAATGCAGAAAAGGCACCTTTCTTTGTTGGTAAATTATAAATTCAAGTTCTACCAACTATATGCTTATTTGTGAATGGAGTCTTAAAAAACAGAATTGTAGGGTTTGAAGAAATGGGTGGTAAAGACACCTTCGAAACTGGTACTTTAGCACATATGTAAATTATAAAAGAAATTATTTTTATAGACTTTTAAGATATGGTATGATCAAAGTTAGAAAAGGTAGTAATGATGAAGACTCATCAGATGAAGATAAATGACATTTGAAATATTAAATTAATTAAATGAGTGATCAATCTTAATACTTGAATAAAAGTGTCAAAGTCATTTGTTCAGACAATAGAGTCATCTATGGTGTGCTTTCATGTATTTCATCACCATTTTCTATCATACTCTAACACTCTGTTGCCACTCATCCTTCACCATTAGATCTAGATATAGAATTTCATTACACTCCCTAATTTCCAGCCAAATATTTTACAAATGATGAATCAATTAGAGAAGCCTATAACAATTTCAATAAAGCAACTGAAGAAACAAAATAAGAATTATAAAAAAAGGTTGATGAAGCCAAAGCATTTAATGATCAATTTATGAAAGATAAATATTATGTTGGCAGCGTTGTCATACCTGGGGAACATATACAAAATGTCATATTAATTTAATGACCAAAATATATTATTATGCTAAATAATGTATATTAATAATAATCATATGCTAAATTTAATTTCACCTCAATAATATATACCCTATAAAAATACTCAAACTAATGCTCAATCAGCAGTTTGCATATTGTTGAGAGGGTAATTTAAACCATAATAAGGTTATTCTTAATTGAATATCAATTATCCTTAATCCACAAAATTTCAACAATAACAAGACATTGAAATACTTTATATTTAAAGATAAAATTCAAAAAGAGATTAATATAGTGGTGAAATAGCATTTCCAGGAGGTAAATGTGACAATGATGAAACTGATTTATAAGCTGCAATAAGAGAAGTATATGAAGAAGTAGGAATTAATTTAAATGATTTAGAATGTTATTATGTTTGTCGACTTTCCAAAAATGCATACATGAAGAAATTGAGAAATAAATAATCTTTATATTGTAGTGCTTTCGTAATAGCAATCAATGATCCTAATAAAAAAACTGATAATATGAGATTGTCTGAAAATGAAATATAATAAGCAAAGTGGATAAAACTTACTTATTTTGATGATCCTATATTGAAAACAAAAAAGAGTTTACATTATTTTGGACCTAGATTGATAGCAAAATATTTTAAGTAATCAGAAACTGCAGCTTTGGATATTGGATTTGAAGAAATGTTATATGGATTTACCTTTTTTATGACAATAGCTTTGTTATTTTTAATTTAGAAACACCAAAAAGTTTGGTAACATGCACATTTTGCAAAGTTCACTTTTACAGGACCTATGAAATATATTTTAGAATATGGAGCTATGATAGTCTATAAAAAAGAGAGAATAAGTCTAATTGAATAATGGCAATGGCCAATATATATATACTTAATTCCATTACTAATATTGATGATAATTTTAATTTGATTTATATTTTTATGATATTAAGATATCAATCATCTTATTAATTGCTTTTGATATTTGTAAATGAATATGCTTTAAACAGATATCCATCAGCTTTATAGAATTTGCTTTAGAATTCAACCCTAATAAATAGTTAGTATAATTTCTATACCATTGTAATCGAAGGGCATGTAAGAAACACTCCATGAGATCCATACACATCAAGACTCCAAAAGTGGCTAGAGCAAATCCTGGAAATTGTACAATAGACTAATATTTAATTATAGATGAATACTCCTATAGTTCCAAAGAATCCTCCTTCACCAATATGACTGGCTAGAGTCATGGAGAAGAAGACTTCGGCCAATTGTGAATGAGCTAAGGATAATGCCCACAATCTTAAATACGATGCTGTATTACTAACACTTCCTAAAACAAATTCAATAGTTTCAATTGCTAAAAATAATGAATATAAATTATACATTAATGAACAATTAATTCACCAATATCATCATGTTAATTATGTTATTAAATACACACTTTACTATGTGGTTATGATTAATCCTTTTACATATCATTTTGTAATTATTCTGGATTAGCATCATCATCAGGTACTTAAGATGGTATTTATTAATATGGATGATTCTTCTTATTTAAATTAAAAATAAGTGGTTTTGTAATAAGCATTATAGGAATACAAAGAATAATGATGGTTAATAATATTAATTGTATGAATCTCTACTATTCTCCAGATTCAAATAATGGTTTTTCAGGTACATCAAATGGTCTTAATACCATATCAATCATAGTTGTGATAACACTAGGAGCATCCTTTGTGTCTTCAAATTTTGTACACCATTTCAAAAACAATAAGAAATCCATGTAACCAAAACTGCATGTTAATAAAAGAAATTATGGAATGAATTCACAAAAGAAATCTGTATAGTTATTGAAGTTTAAAGTATTGAAACCTTTTAAAATAATACCAAAAGTCATGTGAGTAACTCCAATGATGACTGCTAATTTCATTTTAAATGAATTCATGAAAGTTAATTGATTAGTTGAAGAACCCCATGCAGGGTCTATTCCAAATTTATAGACACAATCTTCTTTGATTTAATATTCATCATCCACTAAATTATAGCAACTTCCAAATAAATTTAAACTTATGGATAGAAAATCATTGTAAATTAGTCCATTATAACAAGCAAAGAATCCAATTAGAAGAATCATATATCTCATAGGAACAAGTCCAGAAAATATAGATTTTTTTGCGTCTTCAGTTGTGAGATACAATCCACAAACAAACAATAACAAACTCTTAATAATTTAATATATTATACCCATGACCAACATCACCAAACATCACACCAACTAAAAATGGAAATGTTATTATAGTAGATAATCCTGGATTGATTTCTTTGTATCTGGGTATACCATAAGTATTGACAATTTCTTAAAAAGGATATGTAAATGAATTTAATTTATAATAAGTAGGAGGAGTTGATTAAATTTACTATTCCTAGATTTAACCACTAGGTAATTATTTATCATTACCATGTAAGTTTCGTAGAGCTTATTAAATTTTTTAATCCTAACCTTATGGTAACCATATCTATCCATGAAATACAGAATTTGTCATATTTAACATATTCAAATTCATGTACAAATACTTTTCTTTTGTTACTAAGATTCTCATTTCTTCAATCCATGAACAGTTATGTTTAACTTCTGACAAATCTTATAATCTCTTATTAATTTAAGAAATTGTCAAATGTAACAATTAATCTGCTTCATTTAACTGATTTTCCAACATAGTAATTCTTTAAGCTTGTTATTCACTCGATGTAGGGATATCAAACTTATTATTTGAAAAAGACTCAATCACTCTTTGAATTTTTTTCTAAGTCAAATCTCCACATGGATAAAATAACATAAATACACACTTCTATACACTCTTTCTATCTTATTAAATAAATTGTTCTTAAATATCCATAATCTCTACATGAATATTTCCCTTAGTTATTCTAAAGATTATCCTTTTAAATCTCAACTCATCCTCCTTCAATATAACTCCAACCATTTTCTGAAATCCCAATAAACTAGCTTCTTCTGAATCCTCATTTTAAAATGCAACAGCATTTCTCAATACTTCCAAATTCTCTCTTATAGTGTTTTTCTTTTCTTATAAACTAGTTAATGTTTATTATTAATGTTCCAAATCATCTGCTACTTTACATATTTCTTATTCTAATTCTTCAAATTATTTATGACTTCCATTTCTCTTTTTTAATAAATCAATGACATCTGGACAATACTTTTTTTCAATCTTAAAATTTCTCATCTCATCATCTATCTACTCAATCTTTTATAGCACATCATCACATCTTAAATCTCTAAATGTAATACCTCTTCACATAATTTGAAAATGGTCTATTTATTTAAGGTAATGTCGCATCATGATCAATTATGTGAACGCTATCAAAATATCCTAATGTGTTCATTACATCCCATGCTGATTCTCTTGGAATCACTAAATTATAGAATTCCATCTACTCTGATCTAAACAAGCTCATATAGATTAATTAATATAATATTTATTACCAAAACGAATCAATAATATTTATGAATTAACAGAAATTTATACCTTAATCAATAACTCTATTTCATTATAATAATAATAATTATTATTATTAAAAAATATGTATTAATTTAAACCCAGAGAATCTAGGAATTTTATCAAAAAACCCATCTCCAGAAAATTTTGCTTTTTTGAAATCAAATCAAATTGGAGTATACTTAATTAAATTATGATATCACTCTTTCTATTAACATTTGTCACTTTATTGTTCGTAACCTCATAAGTTATAATTGGTCTATATGTAAGCAAACATTTTTTCACTAAATTTGCTTAAGCAGCAATCTAGAATTATTCAGAAACTAGGTATACTTATGAAGCCTCATTATTGCAGTCTACAGTTTAAAATTAATCATCATTTGATTCTGCATTAGTTTACACCTATCCAATAGCCACTAATTAATCCATTAATTAAGTCTATTTATATGTAGTTCTTTCTCTATTTTATTAGGCTGTTTAAATGTAGAGTAAAAGTGATTTATTTTAGAAATGTGATAATTTTTCTTGTTATCTATTTGGAAATTATTCAAGCTCCTAAAATTCTTATGTCATAGTAACAAATCATTCATAATCAAGCTTTAAATAGACGAATAAGATTTTTAAAATGAAGCTGATGAGATTTTATCATAGTCAGATGGTGAATTCAATGAAAATCTACTCTATACTATTTATTTGATTAGTGGATCATTCTTAATAATCTTATTACTTGGATGGATTTTTGCTTATTATATTGTGCGTCCTCTTAAAAAATTAGCAGAATATGCATAACATATAAATTAGAATACTACTCGTTTATCAACTGGAAAAAGAAGCAAATAAAAACCAATTGAATTAAAAGACATAACAGCATAAGATAAAATAGGAGAATTAGTTGATGAATTTAAAAATCTTATATAAGGATTAGCTGGATTGAAAAAAGGAAATGTAAATTTATTTATTAAATTCTAGATTTAAAAAAAATCTCAAGAAATTAAACCATTTTTGGAAGGATATGAAAATTAAAATCAAGATTAATTTTAAGAATTATTAGAAGAAATTAATAAAATAGAAGATGAAAAACATATAAATTAATTTAATTATGATTTTTTTTGATTTTTACATATATAGTTATAATGCATTTTCATTTTATAAAATGTTTGTAAATATCTTCAAAACATTTATTAAATACATCTTTAATTCTTTAAGATGTATTTGATGTTGATTAAATTATGGATCTAGGTACATTAAATAATAAGGGACATCCTTTAATATTTCTGTCTTGATATTTGGATTTTAATTCATTTCCAATTTTTGAATTTATTTATGATCCAACAGTTAAATAAATTATTTAAAATGAATAATGAAACTTTAAAACTTTAAATGATTTATGTAATTTTTAATAATCAGTTTACCCATCAGTAACTAAACAAATTCTATTTCTTTTATTACATAAATCATATTTTTTATCAAGTTATTTAAATTATTCTAATAAGCTATCAAATTTTTATTATTATTATTATTATTATTCTTATTATTATTCTTATTATTATTATTGTATTTATTAAAATTTATCATTTGACCAAACTAATATTACTTTTTTTAGTTCAGGAATATTTTAAAATTATGTCTAAAATATATCAATAGCAATTTAAGATTCATTTTTCATTGAATCATTTGTATCAACTATAAGAATTATACATTTTTCAGCCTCTTCACATTCCAATCCTTCCTTTAATAAAATTTATAGTTCTTTTGGTAAATATTTATAATCATCATTTGATGAAAATAATGCATTTGAAGCATCTGCATTCATAATAACTTAAGTTTTCTATTAATATTTTTTAACAAGAATAAGAAAATTTGAAATACTTATTAATTTCTTAATAGTTTAATCTATTAATTAAAATAGAGAGTTCATCTATTTAAAGGATACAATTTACTCATCTTATTCAACTTTAAAATCTGAAGCAGAAAATACTTTTATTAATGATTGTTAAGTGGAAGTAAGAAAATCTGTTAAAAATTAAGTATGATCAGAATTTAGATTCTTTTCAATATAAGAAATGTGATTGTTAAGAGTTTCAATAATAATTAATTCAGTTGACTCAAGTAGAGTTAAATTTTAATTTTTTTAATTAATTGGTTCTTGGAAACTTGATGGATCAATTAATTTTTAATATTATTCTGATAGTCTCTCATTTAAAATTTCAGGTGTAACAACTTTCTTTTTAATATCATGTGAATTAACATTAATAATTTAATTAAGAGAAACTTGTTTATCAAATAAACCTCTTTATAATTATGTGATTTAATTTTCACTCATGGCTTACAATTCTAGATTTTAGGAAAGTAATTCATCTAGTAGTTAATATACTTCTTGACTTTTATGTTGTTCTTCAGGAGTAGATTAAATTGAAGTGATTTATTTTAAAAGTTATGGGGCAGCATCAGAGATACATTTGAATGCTTTAGTGTCTCTTTTTTTGTTTGCAATTTAATCATTAATAGCTTAAGATAAAGAGCCAATAATAAATTAATTAATATCTTTGTCTGTTGTTTTAGGTTATAATTTAATATTTCCTGCAACAATTTCTTCATTTGTTGTTGCACAAAAGTGACTACCAGCAATTACTTAATTTGTCAATGGTGATACAAGTGTTTACTAGACTTACTTATTAATTATAATTATTCCATCTTGAACTGAAATTTATGGTTTGATTTATAAAAAACATTTAAAAAAATCTTCATAAATAGTTTCTTTTGATTTTGATATTTTTCTCCTAACTTAAAAAAGTGATTATAAGTTAGGATCATGATTGTGAATTTTATTTCTTAAAATGTTACTAATTTCATTAGGAAATTTATCTCCTACTGCAAAACTAATGAATTAGATCATAAATTAATTTTTCATTTATTCAATTTATGGAAGTAGTACTTTAATATCAAAAGTTTCTCTGCCATCACTTATAAATAAGATTGTAATATTTTTAGGGATAGAATTTTTTTTACTTAGGAGTATTGTAAATAAATCTTTGAAAGTATTTGTGATATTTCCTCCTCTTCCATTAACTCCAACATATGGTAGGATTGGAAAAAGTTCAGATTGGAATTAATATTCTAATTTCTAATCTCCAAGATAAGAAAAGACATTTTAATAGGCTTTGACAGCTTATTCATATTCTCCACTCATAGATCCAGTACCATCAATAAGTGTAACCAAATAGGAATTGATAATTTAAGATGGTGGTGCTTAATAGACTTTCAAACTCATATTTTATTATTTCTATTAAAATGAAATAAAAAATTTGTAATTAAATTTATAAAGAATAATAATGGATGTTATTCTTGGCTACGTGGATGAATTTAGACACATGAAATTTAGAAAGGTATAATGAAAAAAGATATAAATACAGATAATATTGCAAATAGTTTCATTAGCAATAGTTGTAGGATCAGCATTGTCAATTTGGAAGAGTTTATAAGTCGTGTCATTTTCAGAATCTCCAGTTGTTGTTGTTTTATCTGGTTCAATGGAGCCTGCATATTATAGAGGTGATATACTATTCTTGACATTCTTAAATAAACCATTTGAGGTTGGAGATGTGATAGTATACAAGATTAAAGATCAAGACATCCCAATTGTGCATAGAGTATTATAAATTTAATAAAAGTAAGAATACATATAATATAGTAAATAGAAGTGATGATCCTTTAGATTAATTAATATTAACAAAAGGTGATAATAATTAAGTAGATGATAGAGCCTTATATCCAAGAAAATAGATGTGGTTAGAAAGATCAGATATCATGGGTAAAATAGAAGGGTTTAAATTTATTATTTATTTTTTAGAGTGTTACCATATGTTGGATATATCACAATCTTATTGAATGACTATCCTTCATTGAAATTTATAATGATTGGTTTAATGAGTTTATTTGTTTTAACAGCCAAGGATCCATAAAGTTGAGTTATTTATTAATTAAAATAATTTACCATATGCAAAAAGAGTAAAAACGATTATTATTAATATTATTATCATAGAAATGTATAAATCCCTTCTTCTTTGTGCTTTGCTAATAGCAACTTAAGCTGGACATGTTAGAAAAACTCATGGAGCAGTTCATTAGAAGAGAGTCTTCAATAGTGCCTTCATGGAATTTGTCAATATGGGAGATTCTGATTATCACCTTAACCCTAAGGAAGCTTGTACGATCTCTTCATTTAAATAGAACATTGGGCATAGATAACATCAGAAGAGACCAAACATGATAAAAAAGCCAAGAAACATGCTTCATTAGTCCAAACCAATGAATAATACGTTCCTGGAGTTGTTGGTCAAGTAACTGATTTATCCAATAATGCTGGAGTATATTCTTATACAGTTACTGATTTGAATGGAAATATTCTTGAATAGGATGCAGGTGATCATTTACCAAAGTAATTTTATAATGCTTATTTGTAAATGACCCAAGAAATTGAAAAGGGTCCTGCAATGATCAAATTATAAACTGATTTGGATAACATTATTAGAGAAGATCAATTAGAACAAGAGAGTAAATAAGAATAACAATCTTAAGCTCTTGAAGGAACTGCTCTTTCAGAATAAGAATAATGATTAACATATCACACCATATTATCTAATATTTTTTGATTTTTTTTCTTTTATTTCTTATTATTTTTTGATAATTCTCTCCTCTCCATTATTATTTCTAATAAATATTGCAATTTATTATTAAAAATGAAGCCTACAGCCAAAGTCTTTGAATTTTTGAATTAATACAATTATTATCTACCTTAAAACCTTGAGCATGTATAAAAAATGTATCAATCATACAAATTACTAGGTTTTATGAATAAATGGTTTAACATTTACAATTAGGAGATAGTTTTAAAAATTCCTTTATAAGTCAAATATCACAGATTAATCAAAAAGCATAAAGAGAACCTGAATTCAGATAATTGATACGAAATACTTGGTTTGGATTTGTTAATAAAACACCCATTAATATAATATGTCCAATGGTAAGTCAACAAGAAGTATAGGATGTCTAGGATTTCATTTTAAAAGTCTTATTAGAACCTTAATCATTTGAGATCATTTATGTTGATGATTTATTATCAGTTTATGAGGCTTATTTTTAGTCTGTATTAAAATTCTTATATAGTAGAATAAAGGTATAGTAAAAGTATATATCAGGAATAGATTTAGAATGATAATCAGTAGGTTGATATGCAGCAAATTCGTAAAATAATTAGATACTAAATATTAATCAAAGTTTAACTAGTTCTTATTTCAAATTTATCTTAAAAAGATTGAGACACAAGATTAAAATATATTAATTTAAACTGAATTTTTGACAGAATCAAATTTCTATTAGAAAATGGTTGAATAATTATTTGATATATCAGAATTATAAGGAAATTTTTCCTACATTATTAAGAATGTGATTTAAATTCTTGTTCGTGAAATTGTTAATGTAGCATAATCATTTGAAATTTTCATTCAATTCTATCATTTGTATAATGAAAAAGATAACATTTTATTTGAAAAATATGATCAAAGACTTAATATTGATCTGAATAAATTAGCAACTGAAATCTTTCTAAAATTCAAAGAAAATTAAAATTTAAGAGAATCAATTAGAATAGTATTTCAAAAAATTAGCCTAAATCAAAGCACAGATTATAAGAGATTGTTGAAAGATTTGGTGTCAAAAGACATTTATAATAAAGAGAATGAATAATGGGTTAGCTTAATTTTGAGAGAATATGAGTATTAAATTCAAAGGAATCGAAAATAACCTCCTGTTCAAAATGATTTTTAAACATACTTAAGACATTAAGGATTCATATAGAAAACAGAAAAAAAAGGAGAATAAGAATATGATAATCCTAAATTTAATTTGATTATTCATGATTCAACTAATTTTACCTTGTATAATAAAATGAACAAAGAGACAAAAAAATTTATGTAAATCAAAGAAGTATATCATTATATACAAAATAGTATCTAGAATTTTAATAATTGAATATATGTATTTATTATAAATAATCATAATTATACCTATATAACTCAATTTATCAATTCTTATTTTGTTTACAGAGTCATTTACTAAAAAAATAAATTAGGAATATAAATTAATTATTCAGATTACTCGTTTACATTTTAAATCTAATAAAGTATTAAATTTTTATGAAATTCAACAACTTTATTTTTATGAACATTATTAATTTAAAAAATGAAGAATCTTATTAAATTATAATAGTATAAATAGAAAAGATCATTTAAATTAATAATAGAAATAATTGAATATAATTTAAATAGAATTACTAATATTGAAGTATAAAAATAAAATTCAAATTTTTTTAATAACTTTATTATTTAATTTAACTATTATAATAAGATCCAAAATATAAAAAATGGTTAAAATAATTATCTAATAAATCAAATTGATCTAACAAACAAGCATCTTAAATTTTTATCCAAATATTTATTATTGAAATGAGAAATACTATACAGGTATTAGTTGATTTATAAAAAATAAAGTGTGTTTGAAATAATTGAGATAGGATAACTATAATGTAAATTAAAGTATAATCAAAATATGATATAATGAATAATAATAAATCATTTCCTATTGTAATTTTTAATTGTATAAGCAATTTCATCTAAATTTTATCTGGAAATTCTTATGCTCTATATATTTCTTTGATGTCTTCTTTTTTAACCAGATTAATATTCCAAGCCTTTTTTAAACTGTTTGTAGTTTTATCAGCATTTTCCTATATTTTTTATCATCTTATATTTAATTCTAAAGTGCTAGATCGTACTGCAAATTGAAGATCAAAGATTCTTAATATTGATTACTATAGATTTATTTAATACTATAATCTTTCTTTTTAATGAAACTGAAGGTGGTCAAAATACTTTCTGAAATCAACATCAATTCTATTATGTTATTATCTTGATTCTTATTGATATTAATTTTCTATTTATGTAAGTCTATAATTCAATTCACATACAAATAGAGATGACTGTTTTTTCATATAATCTTGATTTTAGTTCTGATTCATTATATTCCTTTTGTTTTAACATAATTTACTTTAGATTATTAATAATAATGAAGAAATGTGATAATGAAAGAATAGCTTAATAAATATATGCAAGTTAGATGTTAAAATTGTAAGGTAAAATTTTGGAGAAGAAGTTAATTAAAACAGGGTCAAAGAATTAGATTGAAAGTTAATCATAAAACATCTCAAATAACAATAGTCCTGTCGTTGGAAGATAAAAGTCTTATGAGAATCTATAGAAAGTTAATAAGACATTTATTAATCAACCTGTCTCTTAATAAAAATTAAGCAGTATTTTGAATGTGATTAGTGGATAATAACAAAACACTAAATAAAAGTATTCCATTAACAACGAATTGATTGAAACTGTTAAGATTTCACATAAGTTACGAAAGAATCAATCTATGATACATATCGAATAATAATCTCCTGCTCTAACTAAAAATGCATCCTTCCATCATTCAGTTAAAAATAAAATCAATAGTAATAGTGTATCAAGTGATCAATCTTAAATTCAAAAAGTCAAAGAGAAAATCAAATTATTATTATAGGAACGAGATTAAAATCTACCATAAGATGCAAAAGAATTAGCATTTATGACTAAATTCAATCAAATTTTAAATTAATTAGTGGTAGTGTTATTTCAAGAACCAAATTTATAAGCATCTCAATAACAATTCAATCTGCCATCTTCAACTTAAGATACTTTCTAAGCTATTTAAATAGATCATTTTTTTAAAAGGCAGATTCAGATATTGCAATAGTCTTTTTAGTTATAATTAGACAAGAAGAAATTAGAAAATGTGTTATTGTAAATAAAAAAGAAGTAAGAGATTTTGCAATAGGAAAATGATTAATTGTCATCAAATAAATTATAAATGAATGAATAGATAACTTAATTAAAGTAATAAATTACAGAATTGTAAAAATAGAACGATAACAATGAAGAAAATATTTAATTAGAATCAGGTAATTATATTTAATATTGAAATAGAAACTTAAGAGTTAAAATATCTTGTATAAGGATAATTTGAAGCCATACAAAAATTGTTATAAAGAGAATAATTAATGAAGGTATTTTTAAAAAGAGTGGGTGATAGTTCTATAATAGAGTAAAAAAAATATAATATTTGAAATTGATAGGATGTTTGAATAATTTATCCAGAGTGCAGAGAATGTGAATTAAGATGATACTGAAGGAAATTTGAATATTGATATGTTGCCATAACAGAAACATACCTAGGTTTAAAAGAATAATTAATAATAATAATAATAATAATAAATTCCAGATAAAATAATTCAATAATATGAAATTAGTTATAAACAATTAGATTTATGTGATTCACTATTAGCTGATGATTCAAGTAGATATTATTTCATAATATTATATAGGAGTGAATGATTCAGAAGAAAGTAGTTTCGGATATTTAGGAAAAGAGTAGGCAACCGAAGTCAGTTGTTATTTCACTTAAGCTTAGTAATTTATTTAATTAGTTATTTATTTTTAGATAATTTTAATAGCAACAAAACCAATAACCATTTTAACAACAACAGAATTTAAAAGTGAAAGGAAAATCTAATATTAAAGATAAGTTAAGAATTAATATGATGGATGTGTAATTAGCATAAGCTGCGTAATTAATATTTTATAATTAATTAAAGTTAGAAACATGAATATCTGAAATAGCAATAATTGCTATAATAATAATAGTAACATCATGATAAGATTTTGCCAGATGATATTAATAGTGATGATGTAAGTAAAATTTATATTCATAGTTTTGAATAGTTTACAAGATTTGATATTTAAATACTATTATTAAAATAATATATAAATAATATTTTGTCTCTTAAAATTTATAATAATCTATCATTATTATTATTATTATTATTATTATTATTATTATTATTATTATTATTCTACAGGCATTTCTTCAATATTAGCAGTGGCAGTTTATTAAGGTTATTCTTCTCCTGGAGATGCTAAAGTTGATTATCCACTTAATATTTCATAAGATCTCTTTGCATCTTCTTCAACCATTTTTTAGTATTGTTCTCTACCTGATAGAATAATCAAATAAAAACTTACTAATCACATTTCCATCATTATCAAAGAATTATATTTTTGGTGTTGATAAATCACCTGAATCTAAAATTGCCTTTTCAGAATCTTTTAATTCACTAAACCAACTACTACCAGTTTCTTAAACTTCTTATAATTATGGTTCTGGTAAATGTAAACCAGATGGAATACAATCATTACTCATTAACATATTGATTTGATTACCTTCTAAGGCATCAGTCATTTAAAATGAGGTTCTAATATACATATATATAATACCCAATAGGAACATATACAGATTAAATTGGAAGTTAAAATGATAAAACTTCATCTGGTTAATTGCAATACTTAAATGATGAACCTCTAAAGTTGCATTCAGAATATAATATAATGCAATCACCTTTTGCAGGCAAGTTTTATTCATAATTTCTAGCTATCAAAATTTATTATTCTTTAGCTGATTATAAGACTGACTATGGATCATAAACATATTCTTATTCAGGAGCCATAGCTGTTTCAATGTCTTGTTATTACACATCCTCTTATAGCATGATTGGAGCATATGGAGTTTAATAATATTATGCTGACTCTTCCAAAAAGGATTGAGTATTGACTGCTATTAGAAGAACTAATATTAATTGTATTTTCATTATTTAAATAAAAACGAATAATCTCAAACTATAATATTTAAATACTATTTCATTATTCATCATCTTTAATATTCAAATCTTCTGATACATTAGATATCACTTATTATGGATAGTAATTCAAATTCAACTGAAGTTATTGAGGATGCATAAAATAACAAAATAGATTTTTATCATCCATTTATTATTACATTTATTATTATGCAAGCAAGTATTATTGATAGTACAACTATTATTGATCATATATATTTAATTTATCTTCATCCTTGCCAATCTAATCAAGTATTGGAAACATATATGGCATCTATGGAAATTGAAATTAATAATCCTAAAATCCTTATTGCTATTAATATAATTGTGGCCCAACCATAAATTACTATAGTAGTCCGTTATCACTATATTTGTCTATTCTATCCTAGTTTCCATTATCTTTTCTCTTTCTACCAACTCCCTTCTATCTCTTCTTGACCGAATGCACAAAAGGATTGAACTTCTGGTGATGAGACCTAGAAGATAGAGAAAAAACCAATCTCACCGGCATTATGAAGGACTTCTTGTACCAATAGTTTCACTCATTAATTTAAAAATCTTGCTTGTTTTCTTTTAATCTTATGATTCCATAACTGTTCTATGCATATTCAAGAATTCTAAATATGTATTGTGTTCCTATTCACTCCAATGTCCTGTTAATTAATTGGGATTTGTAATTACTCTTTTTTTATTCTTCCTTCTTTACTCACCTTCCTCTCCTTATAAATTTATATCCTCTTATTTAGCCCATATCTCCTCCTAACTCATAATTGCTTCTAATATATATATATATTTATTATTTAATTAATTAAAATAATCATTCATTTCTCCTCTATTGACTAATCCTTTTATGATAAAACTGAATTATTGTGTTGTGAATTAGTTCTTTAAGAATATGTTTTATTTACATGTTGCATCAATTTTATTTGAGTATTTAATAATTCTATTCTTATTCATAATTGCATACTTTTCTAAAAATCATCCTATATCTAAGTCAATTCAGTAAAATGTTATTTTATTTAAGTAATCTGACTATTCTACTATTTATTTTGATTATTATTAACATTCTTTAAATTCTCTATTTCTTACATTAAATCTTTCACTAAATTATTATTATTATTATTCTTGCTTGTAAATATTTTCTATATCAAATATAATGTTATTATTGTACAATATATAAATAATAATATGTTTACTTCCATTATTATTATATTATTATTTTAATAATAAATAAAACAGATAATTAATTAATAAAATAATTTATATGTAAACTGCACCTCCATTCTCAAATAATCATTCAAATCCTCTCTTAATGAAAGATGATGTTGGAAAACCTAAACCATCAACATACAATCTTCCCAATCAAGATTTTATTTATGGATAACCATTATCAAGAGACAAAGAAGGAGCCAAAGAAGGTATATATCATAATATTTAATACCCTTAAGTTACTATGACATGGAAATTTCATCAAGAATCTCAAGATAGACTACCAAATAGAGACTTTGCTGAACTCAATAAATAATCAATACACAATGGCTCAGTTAAAGCACATGTAACTGATTTATAATTATTTATACAGGATATGTACAAATATAGATAGACTCACGATGCTAGACTTAAATTAAAGAAAGGTACAAATATTCAAGCTATTGAATTACCAGAAGAAGAATTTCGTTATGGACGTAAAAACAGGTAATTCCAAATCCCTATTTAGACCATCAACCCCTATGAAATTGGTAATGGGCAACTCATATGGTATTGAAGCTGAATCAACTATTCTGGATAAATATCAATAGAGAGCAGGATCTCAAGTATTAATAATATACTTAACCAAAGGATTCCAAATTAGCTTCATCCATGGTCAAAAGCAATAAGGCTTCTTAATTATTTCATGATACTAATCATAAAAAATTGGCTGCAATATAAGGAGTAGAAAAGAAGGAACCCTTTAAGATGGAGAAATTTAAATCTGTCACCCCTAAAATTAATACCAATTTATCAACTAAAAAATGATTATTTAAAATATTTTATTGAAATCATTAAATTAATGAAATGTCGATCTTTTCCACTAAATCCTTATCAACATAACAAAACTTATATGAATCAAAATTTCTATTTTTATCTCTATTAGATTCTATACCCAATATTTCCTCATAATATCTATCATATCCACTAAAATACTCTTCATATATTTTAAAACTACCTAAATTTATTAACTCTCTTTTTAAAAATTAACATAATTGAATTGCATCTTATCTATGTTTTAATACACTTAAAGATGCTAGTATTCTTTTTAATCTTAATAAATTATGAGTATTTTTTAAAAAACATAGTTCAAATTAATTCTTATCAATTAATATTAATTCTAATTTATAATTAATTTCAATTTAATCTATACTCTTATTTTTGATTTAAATATTATTCAAAGTATTTGTATCTTTTGGTTATTAAAATTATTATTGTAATTATTATAATTAATTAATACCTCTAATATTTTATTAAGTTTTTTATTTTAAATATTATTATTTCTCAATTTATATATAATTAGTCTTTTATGGAAATATTTTTGAATTAATCTAATTATTTTTTTCTTATGTATCTTTAGATTCTTAGATTTTTATAATTTATTTTTATTATTAAGACTACTAATTAATAGTATTACTCTTAATAGAATCATCAATTTGTGTATCCATAATTACCACTTATTTTAATCCAATACCAAAAAAGCGTAAAATCATTATATAATTTTTATAATATCTCTCAAGTATTGTTTCTGAATTAATCATTTAATATCTTTCTACAAGTGTTAATTTATAACAATTTGAATTAAATCTACTTGAATAAAAATTAGGGAAAAGCCATTGAATAAAAGAATGATCATACTCTAAATTTTAATAGAATTGTTCAATATTTTGAATTGAGATTTATTATTATTTTTAAAATAACTCAATAAATGTTCTTATTTATGGTTTCACTTCTTGCCAAGTTGCTTTATTATAAAAATCAAAATTTCTCATAATTTCTGGTTATATTGATTGCATAATTTAAAATATAAAAAATTTAATGATTAAATATGTTAAATCATGAAAAAATTCTTAAATTGTGGAGTTTAGGATATTTAAATTGAAAAGTATCTATCAAATCCTATAAATTTTTTTCACATAAATTAAGCTCGATTTAATCAATTTAAAAGATTTACACTATTTTATTTTACTAAATGGATAGTATAAATAAATTACAAATTAATTAATGATGATTTATTGATTATTTAAATAGTTTTTGTTGACAAAATCAGTGATGGAATAAATAAGTGATGAAGATGCTAAGGTATATAAATTGAAGGATGTCATAGAATAGTCGTGTAGACACATTTTCAAAATATAAATACTGGTATCTAAAATATTTTGTAAATAAGGACTAAAATTTATAATTAATTATAATTACTTATCATTCAAACTAAAACATTAGTAAAAGATATTTTTCAAAAAATCTAATGCTGTTGGAAATGTGATCTCAAAATTCAAAGTTTCTAATATTGATTATTCCATTTCTTTGATTTTAGATCTAGAAATAAAAATAAATTATACATTGAATATTCATTGTGACAAATTCTAGTTACAAAATCTTATAAAGGAATTTGATAGATATCTTCAATTTTAGTAGCAATAAACATGGAAGTGATACCAATAAGATGAAGTTGATTATCAGTATATTGGAATATGGTTTTTTTGAGGTAATAATCCATAATAGAAATAGATCTGAAGAATGTAGCATCAGAAGTAGTTTCACTATAATTTCCTAAAACTTCAATCATCCAATTAATCATCTTGGCTCTCAATTTATATGAGATCTATTAGTTTGAAAGACTATATCCAAGATAGACATATTCACTTATCATTGATGATGAAAAGTTTTAGTGATAATTTTAGTGATAATGTAATTATCTCCTTAATTCTGAATAGTCTTGATCTTCATTAATAGGTACTAAAATAGAACTATAATTAAATACATAATATTTAGGCATCCTTTAGGTAAAGGTGGATTAATTTCTAATTAATTATCTCCTTTTGTTATTAAACTTCAAGTTCTTTAATGAAATTAAGTATTTTTCTTTCTTTTTCTTTAGGTTAAAGAGGTTACTTTTCTTATGATTTTGAGTTAGTTTTGCACGATGATGATTATTGTGAATAAAGGTTTTTGTTTAACTTTTGAGTCTTTTAAGTTTTAAGTTGTGGAGATGTACTTCTTCCAGACATTGAAAAATTTCTATCTTATTTCATTAATAAATCAAAATGATATAATCATTTTTGGTTATCTCGAATTTTAGTTAAGTATTTTTTTACTTGCATTTTCTATTTTCACTTAACTAAAAATAATTAATTAATGTTATTAAATTATATACTAATACCAATTGTAATTGGGTCATAAGAGTCTTGTCAACATTTTATGACATCACTTTTGATGAAAGCTGAAATTGAAGGTTATAAGAAGCTTCTTGAAGATATATGGCCATATGCAAGTTTATCAGGCACTAGGTATTATATGTTATTATAAGGTAGTCTTAATCAATTTGGAATGTTTGAAACTTGTTTAAGAAAGGGATACTATTATTCAAGTCTTAAAATAGATATGGAACCTATGCCAAGTTATTATGGATTATGTCATTCAAGAGATTGTACAACAGATGACTTCAATGATGAATAATTATAGTCTGATTTTAAAGAATTAATCAATTCTACAGGAATTTTAGATAAATATAATGTAAAAATGAAGTTATTCAAGATATCATTAGATGATGCTGATTTTATTTTTTATGATCCTCTAAATTATAAAAAGGATTCAGGTATGATGTTTACATTTACACTTTTTCTTATTGGAATGTTTTTGATTCTTAGTTGTTTTAATCCAATATTTTGTTAATTGATGAATTTTAAGAAACAAGTTAAAGTATCTATAAATACAAGAGATATTGAAAATAATGAAAAACATGATGATGAAAATTAAGGATTGACAAATAATGAGATAACAGTAATAAAATAAGTAGAAACTAATAAATCATGTTTCTTAGATTATTCTATTTAGGCAAGTTATAATACATTATTTACATTTAAAGATCATGATACTAATTTAAGTATAATGGAAGGATATAGATCAATAGGATTTTTAATGGTTATTTTTGGTCATTAATTTCTTGATTTAGCTAAATCATCATTTAAATTTGAAATGATAGCTTAATTAAAATCATGGTTATGTCTAAATTTAGTTAATATGTTATATAGTGTAGATATGTTTTTTTGGTTAGGTGGTTTTTTTAGTGCTTATATGTTATTTGAGAAAAGTAAAGTTAAATTAGTTAAAAGAAATGGATTAACAATATTTGGATTCTTATTACATAGAATATTAAGAATTTGGCCATGTTATGTAGTAGCAATTTTGATTAGTTCATAATTAGTACCATATATAGGAGATGGACCAAGATGGTTTATGGCTTTAGATCGTTTTGAATGTGCAACAGGATGGAGAAATTTAATATTTATAGATAACCTATTTTATGATACTTAATATTGTTTTCCATGGGGTTGGTATTTATCCACAGATATGCAATTATTTATATCTTCTTTGATTCCAATGTTTTTATATGCAAAATTAAATTCAAGAATATCAAAGGCAGTGATAATATCTTTATTAGTAATTACATAAACTATTGGAACAGTAATGTCATTAGTAAATGAATATTTATTACCTCCTTTTGCATTGACATAACCAAATATGCATTAGAATTACTATACAAAACCATTTACAAGAGGTCCTCCATATTATTTAGGATTATTATTGGGAGTTTTATATAGAGAATTAAAAGAAAATAATATGAATGTATTAAGTAGATTATAGGAATATTCTTAAAAGAGATAATTTAAATTTAAATTATTTTGTTATTTATTAGGATGTTTAATAATTGGAGGTATATGGTTTGGATGGAGACCAGCTCAATTAAATTATTAAAATTAAGAATATTGGAATAAAACAATATAAAGTATTTGGTTTGCATTTTGTAGATTAGGAATAGCTATAGGAATGAGTTTATTATCATTACCATGTTTATTTGGAATGAAAGATATGTAAATAATATATAAATATATATAATAGATTTAATTTGACTTTTATGAGAAATAATTATTTTAGATTTATTAACAAGATCTCTTTTTCTGGTTATTTAATTCATTAAATAATAATTTTTGGATTATTAGGATAATTCTATCAAACACCTAATTTCTCATTTGAAACAATATTCACACTTTATATAGGAAATTTGTTTATTACTTTAATATGTTCAATAATATTTTGTTTATTTATAGAGTAGCCTTTAACAAGAATGGAAAATAGTCTAATGAAATATATGTTTAACAAATGATTATCAATATTGAATGTGTGTTAATAAATACTCATTTATAATTAAGTGCAATAAATTTAACTGCTGCTTTCATCATATCTGATTATAATTTTGCATATTGATTAGTTACTGATTAAGGTACATCTCCTCTTGGATCAAAACATTAGATTGCTATGATTTTAGTCATCTAAGATTTAATTAATAATAAAATATACTTAATTTGGCTATGGTATAATGATCCAACCACTTAAATGCATCTCTGCTCTTTCAATTTTTGGAATTGGAGGTGTTTTCTAATGTATAATTGATTTAGCTAGAATAAATATTAGAAATAGTCATACCACAAACAATAATAATACCATCATTTTATTTATACACTTTTTGAACCATAATTAAATCTCTACTACTCATAAATGGAATAGGTGCTTTCATTCTCACATAAACTAATCTTGTATTTGCATCAATCTATTCTACAACATGAGCCTATGTTAATATATTATTATAATTAATACAGTTTCTACTTTCTCATCATACATAGGTCTCTTATTCACATCACCAATTAAATCAAGTATTTGATCAGGTGTTCTTGCTATTTCTGTTTATGTCCTATTCATAGTTATTCCATTTTCTGGATTCTTTTTTGTATATACAATATATCCATCTTTATTTTAATATAATTCCCACATATTTTGTTCATTGATTTCTTACCATTTCATCATTTTATTCTTTGTTTCTAAGGTTTCTTAAATATTTATACCATCAATTAATGCTTCATAATTTACTTACATTTGTCTAAATATATTATTTAAGTTTGTTATTTGATATACTTATCAATTTTATTTTATATAGAACTTAATATTTAATTCTATATATCTAATATATTTTATAATATATTATTACATTTACCTTCTTATATTTTAATATCTTATATAATGATCATGATAATAATATATATATAGTATCAAATTGAAATAATTTTATTATTTATTAAATAAATTGAAATAGAAAAATAATTATATTATTATAATGATTCAATCTTTACATGTTTTTGTAAATTTCTAATTGTAGATTTATTGCTATTATAACATTTCTTATGTTTCTTATTATCTCCATTTGTTTCCTATCAATTAAATTTCTTTTTCATATTATGCTAATGTTGGTGGAGGTTAAACTTATTAAATAATAGATCCTAAAATATATTTATATATATTATTACCTAATTCTTCATGATAAACTAACATTGAAAATTAAGAAATATCTTTAACATTTGATGAACTTAATGTAGCATAATCAAATCTTCCTCTTAAATCTGTATATCCATCTTTATGGAAATTTTCTTAATCAGATTTATTCTTAGAATATACTTTCACATAAACTTTAGATAAGTATTATCCTTATTAATTAAACACTCTAATTTATCCAGAATCTAACATTGTTTATACAAATAAAGATGTTGGTTAATATTTACAAGTAACTGATTTCTATTAACCTTTTATAGTAACAAACAAATTCTCTTTAGATATTTCACTAGGAATTTTAATTTTCTCTTAAAACAAACTTAATTTATTATAATAAATATTTACTTCTTTTGTATTTCTTAACCAACTAATTTTTGTGTTAAACATACATTTGGTAATACAATTGAAAAATCTTGAATTACATTTTTCATAAATGGATTATTAGAAAATAGAATTTCAATATCTAATTTATAATATTCTATTTTCACTTCACATAAATTTGAGAATGTAATATTTATAGAGTCTCCTTCAATTATACATGTTAATGTTTCTTCTTTCTTAATTAAATCATGTTATTTTTATTATTATGTTATTTCTAATTTAGAAAATTAATTATCTTCTTCTCCATCATATTCAATAAATAAATTAATTATTTCATAAAACATATTCCTCCAATGTATAACAGGATAACTTAAATATTTTTGGCATATTTCTCTTGCTTTCTAAAAGTTTGGATATCCAGTATAAAAATCTAAATATGCTGATAAATAATCAAATTATAATTGCTATTCTTTTTGTTCCTTTTCACTAATCTATTAATAAACTGAAACAGCTTCATTGACTCTTTCCTATAATAATAAATAGTATATAAGAACTAATTTATCAACAGTTGAAAATTAAGGTTTTTCCAATAAATAAATTAAATAATTTGTATATTATTATCTAAATTAAACATTTAATATATTATTCTCTCCTTATTTAAGTTTATGTACTCTTTTAATAATTAGTGGATAATATTCTAATACTCTTATAGAATTAATTTCAAATAAAGAACATTTAAAATGTTTAAATTTTTATTTCAATGCAATTTAAGCTTATTCTGTTAAAAAGAATTCTTTCAAACATTCTATATTATTGTGTAATAATGAATAACTAAATGTGTAATAATCATAAAATTTTCTTTATCTATATATTTCCATTACTTAATTATAAAATACTTAATCATTAAATTTATGATATAATAATTTTGGATTAAATAATTTACTATTGAAAATGTTCATATTCTATATATAATTTAAAATATCTTAATTATTATCTGTTGATAATACTTCATTAATATTTTCTAGATTTACTTTTGGTTTTTAATCATAAACTTAAAATATTTTTTCTTTTGCAATTTAAATAACTTTACCAAGTTTTGATATATTAGCTGGATATATTGTAAAATTTCCTGATTTTGGAAAATAGAAAAAGTACTTCTATATTTATGTCTAATATGGAGCACAAGTTAATGTAAATGTTTTAGTTGAAAATGTTGTAAAAACTGGAATTGAACCATTTGGAATTTCAACTAATAATTAAAATGTTTATGATATTGCTGAACAATTAGAAATAACTATTTTACAACAATATACTTTTTTAATAAAGAATTCATTTAAATCTTATTCAAATTCATTACCATCTTAATCAACTTAATTCTCTTCATTAATATCAAAAAATGTTTAATTTATTATGATATTTGAATTAAGTTAAACTTCTGCCTCCTTAATTTCTCTTGTAAATATAAGTGCAGAACTTTCATAATTAATTTCCAATCCCTTATTTCCAAATTATGTCTAATTAAATTAAGCAGTTTAAAATGGTAAACTCATCAATGCTAATACACTTAGAATTTCTGTAAAATTATTATTACAATATATAAAAGATGAAGGACAGAAATCTTCCTTTAAAAATCCTTTCTAAATTGAATGATTCACAAGATCTACATAAAATTCCTATAACTTTACTAAATTTTTAAAATCCTATTAATTAACTCCATTTCTATAATGTTTTTCACAATATTCATTTGTAGTTTCCACATTTTAGAAAGTCTTTATTAATTAATTCCTCATATTATCATATTTTATAGCTAATTCTTAAGGTTTAGATTTAACCTTCATTTAAGGTATTTTATTTATATTCCCTGTAATTGATGCTTATCGTTTAATAGATAGATTTATAGAATCCATACTCATAGATTCATCATCTCCTTTCCTATATTCAATACTATCAAACTGCATTACAGATGATTTCTTTTTAAGTTTAACTGGCATTCTCTAAATCATTTGCTCTTTTGGAGGAACAAAATTAATAAATTCTTATTGTGTATTTTCAAGAACTACTTCTTTCTCATTTGTAAAGTCCTTCTCTATTCCTAAAATAGTATCAAAAAGTGTTTTAAATCTATCATCATCTTATTTTATATGTTTATTATTATTATTATTATAATTATTATGATTCATATAAAGTGCAATTGCTTATGCTTCTTCTTTTTTTTCAATAATTTCTTAAAAGTAAATAACTAATAAAGCTTATTCTAATGCATTTAATTATTTAAATAAAGTTACTTATGAGTATTTATTAAGAACTATTTAATCTTAAAGTAAAAAGTAATCTATAAATGATTTTTCTATTTTATTTGATATATATTTAGATATATATGTTTCAAAATATGCTGGATCTTTAAAATATAAAAATAGATTGAGTTCATCACATTAATGTTAATTATAAAATTTATGTTGAGATTAAATAGTCTCTTAATTCCATTTTAATAGTTGATTAATGAATTTTTCATCATCAGCAATTAATTTATTATTGCCTATTTTCATTAATTCTTTTTATATTCTAAACAATACATTTAAGTTATCTAAAATAAATATTTCAGTTGAAGATATGTCTTAAATTTAATATGGAATCTTAGGCTTTATATGTTTTGTACTACGAAAAGTGGAATAAAATTTATCTTTTGATAAAGATGACAGATGACATAGATTCTTTGTTTATATTTAACTATTGGATAATGGCAATACTCTAGATATATATGCTTCACTAGTGTAAGCTAAAATGAAAACAGTAGAATATTATTTTGGTACTTCAAATGAGAAATGATTCTTTTCTTTATTGATTTGAGTAATTACTTTTCCAGGAAAAACTAAAAATTCAGTAAAACTATCACATTATTAATTTCCTGCAAATTAATTAGCTGTTTTTCTAAGTAATCTAGGAGATGCACATCTTTTCCTTTCATTTCCTGTTAGATTATGATCTTATTTCAATATTTATTCATCTTATGTTGTAGTCAAATCAGCAATAAGTCTATTTAATAGAATTTATGGTTTTTCTAGTGTATTTCCTACATATTTAGTTTAATTTTTTCTTTCAATGATATATCTTAATTCTTCTGATTATTATAAATTAGATAAATAGATATTATCTCTTAATTCTATTCGAAGATGATTATCAGGGCTATTTTAATAAAATATTGATCCCATTTATTTATTTATTATTGATAATTCTTTTGGAAAGAAGGTTGTTGCCAAAGCTAAAAATCTAACTTAATTTGATGATACATAATCTCCTTCAATTAGAAAATGTTATTCTTTATCACTAATTTTAGTATTTTCTAAAGAGAAATATTTATCATCTAAGTTTTGAGTAATTCTTTTAGTTTATGTATATATTAAATTATCTTTATGTATTACATTGTTTTCAAGAACATTAAATTGATAAATTACTTTTTATTTA